AGCAGTCTCGACGTTCCGTCCCCTCCAAACCAGGCTGCAAAACTCCATCAACTCACAGCCTTTTTGGGGATTGGCGCGCTCCATCACAGGAGCCTCTCCGATCTGAAGGCCGCACCGGGGCCTAGGGCGCCAAACCTCCTCCCAATAAAATACTCAAAAGCTTCTTGTTTTCTCGTCTCTCCAAATTGAAATGCAGCCCGCGGAAATTCAATTTGGTAGACGTCAGCCAAAGGTAACCCCTCCAGGCCGGTTCTCATCCCCAGCCTATCGCGCTGCAAACGCCCCCTTCCAATCACCGTACCGGACAGGCAGCCGCTTAAAAGCGGAGACACTCCCACTCTCGGCCTTCTCGAAGCCTGCAACCACCGCCTCCCCTCCTCCTCCTCTTCACCCTGCCTCCAATCTGCCTTCAATCTGCTTCCCGCTGCCAAATGCCGCCACCAGTGCCTAGGTCCCGGGGGATTGGCGCGCTCCATCGCAGGAGCCTCTCCGATCTGAAGGCCGCACCGGGGCCTAGGGCGCCAAACCTCCTCCCAATAAAATACTCAAAAGCTTCTTGTTTTCTCGTCTCTCCAAATTGAAATGCTAAACTAAAGAGGATTGTTTTAAACCTAGCCTTGAATAAAGATGTATCTGAAAGGAGGCGAGACAGCAGCAGCCACGGCTAAGCTAGTCTAGGTTACAGCACCAAGATTCATGGTTATATGTTATTACATAATTACACAAATGAAAACTGCTTTGTGACTCTGGTCTGTGAAAGGCGGTATATAAATAAAAAATACTTACTTACTACTACTACATTATCCATGGTGGGTTCCTGGTCTGACTCTTTGACCAGGAGGTTTGGGCTTGATGTGTTTTTGTTTGAGTTTTCAGTTTTGTATTCCTCCTTTTGTGGAGTTTGGATTTATATCTACATGTACTACTACATTTTATTATATGACTTGGACCGTACGCGCGCTCTGATTGGCTGATTACCGGTCTGATATTTTCCCATCTCGGACCGTTACCATGACAATCAGTCCACAGCCCGTATCACACAAAACCAAGTCGGACATGAACATACTTCACAAATATCTCAAAAGCATTGGTAAAGACACAGACGAGAGTCATATAATAAAACGTGTATTAACCTCGCTTGCTCGGTCTGTGCAGAGAAATATCAGACCTTGGCCTTTTTGCACAGGCCTCGGCACGGCTCGGTCTGTACATTAAAGCCGATATTTCTCCATACAGACCTCGCGCTCGGTTAATAAGCCGTTAATACTGCAAAGGATGTGTTTACTTTGTTTCGCTCTGGGCTCCTCCAAGGACTTTTAATGCAAGAAACATAAAAAAGTGAACATGAGGCTGAAAAACTCAAAAGACTCGAGGCGGTTTATTGATTTGTGCTGAGTTAAAATTGCAGTCAGTAGTCTAGAAGAATTCAGAGCATGATACTTTCGGCCTCCTTCAAACTGAGAATCTGCTGAATCCTGGTCATATATATTTTTTCCTCATAAACGATTAAACGTCTCTGCCTTACGCACACAGTGACTCAAAGCCGTGTCTGGCGCACCGTATCTGAAAGTCCCACAGGCTGTAAAGGAATTCCCGAAGTTGATCCACGAAACCAACTATGACGTCACCAGAGGGGGCAGTGCCAGTGCCATGCGCGCGCAGACGCACAGAGGGCGCAGGACGCACGAAACTGGACAGGACCGTGGAGCAGCGTTGCCGGTCTTAAAGCATCATAAAAGCCCCGGGACCGGACCTTGAGGTGAGTTTAGACCCAGCCCGTGGACCGCTGTGGCCCGGGGGGGACCTGCTGTGCCACCCTGGGGTCCTGGAGCCAGTGTCGGTCTTCGGGAAAGTATTCAAGCGGCTTTTAAAACTATTTCCTGGTGGACCCGGCTCAGGTGTTATTACTGCGCTACTACTGTTTGTTTAACACGATAATAACGATGTTCGAGGGGGATCTGGGCAGAAAATGGATGTGAAAAGTGAGGGGACGTGTCTCAGCCCGTGTTTGGATGAGTTATGGTCACTGTAGATGTCCGCAGTGCGCAGTGAGAGTCAATGTGTTGTTGTGGAAAGTACCTATATTTACAAACACTGGAGTAGTGCCATGAGTTAGACCTGATATTATATTGTGTTTTTAAAGCTGGGGTACCTAACCTTTCACTCATACATTGTGTTATTTTTGTTCCAACAGAAAGAGTTTTGCAGAAGTGGAATGTTGTGGAAAAGTTAACCCCAACTTGCTGTCTTTACCTTTTTAGAAAACATGTTATATTTTGCAGAAGACAGATCCTTGTGAGTCACTTTTTCACTCTTTGGACTGAGTGTGTGAGGTCCTCTCCCTTTCACCGAAAAAGCAGATGTCGTTTTTTGAGTTGAGATGAACTAATAAACAAAAAATCGGATAGACCTTGCAGATTGCGTGACCTCTTTGGCGCAGGTAAAACCCACGTGTCCGTGAGAGTTGTGTGATATTGAAATGTGAATGCTCTGCGAGTTGTTTGGACCCGTGTCAGCTTTTTACCTCAGGAAAGGCTCTAATCTATTTTCCCACACTCAGTATAAGTGTTCTAAAGTCAGGCCGACCAAATATAGCAGTAATTTATTCAATTAAATTCCAAATAGTTTTGTCTCGTCCCTAAATCTTACCATAAGTTATCTGGGAGGACTTTACAAAGCCGTTGATTTGCCAACACAGTAGCAGTGGTTCGACAGGAGTCAATATGACTGCTATCACACAGAAGCAGTGTGGTTTTACAGGAGCTGCTCCTGGCAGATGTGGCATCAGGATGGGTCAAATGCAGAGGAGGATTTGCCCTACAGGGATAATTAAATTTCACCTTTACCTTCATGACACGACTTTTTCATTGAGAACCCTCACATGGCACCGGCTGAAACTGATACAAACTTGAAACTCTTTAGCCTTTATCAACTCTATAAAGTCAATCTCCTCAAACTGCATTACACAGAATGTCAAAAAGGATTAAAAAGGTCTTTCTAATCATTTCACATCTTTTCATTTTCCCGTATTTTGAACAATAAAGTGATATTGGGTCATTTCCAAAGACACACCAAACATAATCTCTAGGTACACTAACTTGCCACGGCCCACTGGTTGAAAAACACTGACATAAACATTTGATAACATAGAAATCTGGTGTGACATCAGGGAGAAACATTCTGAACTTCTGCACTTGTATTCTAATGTGGTTTTACTGCAAATGGCAAAGAAAAATGAATCTGAAAACTACTGAAGGACTACGACCTGTCCCAGTGGATCCTGGACTACCTCACAGACAGACCCCAGTTTGTGAGAACCAGGGACTACGTGTCTGAGGTCCTGACCTGCAGTGTGGGGGACCCCCAGGGAACTCTCCTTGCACCGTTCCTCTTCACCCTCTACACTGCGGACTTCAGACACAACACGGACGGTTGTGTTCTACAGAAGTTCTCTGACGACTCTGCCATCATCGGACTCAGCTCCGAGGACGATGACACAGAGTACTGAGGAGTAATACAGGACTTTGTGGACTGGTGTCAGCGGAACCACCTCCTCATCAACGTGAGGAAGACCAAGGAGATGGTGGTGGATTTCCGTAGACGCCACTCTGCCGCTCCAGCCCCAGTGAACATCCAGGGAAAGGACATCGAGAGAGTGGACTCTTACAAGTACCTGGGTGTTCATCTGAACCACAAACTGGACTGGACTCATAACACAGACGCCCTCTTCAAGAAGGGCCAGAGTCGCCTCTACCTACTGAGGAGGCTTAGGTCTTTTGGAGTGCAGGGGCCACTCCTGAAGACCTTCTATGACTCTGTGGTGGCATCAGCCTCTTGTACGGTGTGGTCTGCTGGAACAGCAGCATCACAGAGAGGGACGGGAAGAAGCTGGACAAGGTCATCAGGAAGTCCAGCTCAGTCCTGGGCTGTTCCCTGGACACAGTGCAGCAGGTGGGGGACAGGAGGGTCCTGAGCAAACTAACATCTATGCTGGACCATGACTGTCACCCCCTGCAGGACACTCTCTCTGCTCTGGAGAGCAGCTTCAGTGACACACTAATTCACCCTCGCTGTGTGAAGGAGAGGTTCCGTAGGTCTTTCCTTCCTGCTGCTGTCAGACTGTACAATAAGAACTGCTGAGCCTGTAAATTTCATTCATCTGTAATTAAGTAAATTCTTAAATCATGTGCAATGTGCAACTTCAGAATGTCACAGAACAATGTCACTTTACCTCATGTCACTTTACTTATATACTTTTTATCCTGCACTATTTAACTGTACAGTATATAACTGCACTACTACATATATATATTTTGACTGGTATTGAAGCATTTTCAGCATCTACAGCTAGTTATGTTAGCTAAGAAACATAGCTACTACTTATTTGTATATAGTGTATATATTGTGTGTGATCCCTGTGTGCTCTTACTACTGTCCTATATGCAACATCGAAATTTCCCCACTGTGGGACGAATAAAGGAATTCTTATCTTATCTTAACTGTGAATCTTGTGCTGCAGTGATGAGCCATGGAGAATGGGGGCCGCCTCCCGTCCACCACCTCCGTGTCCTCCGTGTCCTCCGTGTCCTCCGTGTCCATGCTGGAGGCCAAGGAGGAGACGCGACTGGTGCTGCAGGCCTTCCTCCACCGCGCCGCCACCATGCCCCACACAGAGCGCCCCGGCAGAGTGGGGGGGGCGTACCGCGACCACAACAAGCACAGGTACAACACTCGAGAGAGGACGTAGCACATCAGGCTCAATGGACTTTACACTCCACTGTTCAGATTAGAACCAGACGTTTTATTATATCTATGTGGTGCAAAACAGAAATACAAATGTGAAGAATGGATATTAAGACATGAGGCATGTATAAACATCTTAATGAAACTAATATAAATACACACTATAGACATTAACAGAGCAGACTATCAGTCAGTGTCCAGAGGTAAGAGACGACTGTAAAGGGCCGGGATTGACTGCAGTGGTGAAGAAACTATTTTTATGACTGTTTTCTGAGGAGAGTGTTGGAATAGTCCATGTGCAGGTGGGAGGTGTTGGAATAGTCCATGTGCAGGTGGGAGGTGTTGGAATAGTCCATGTGCAGGTGGGAGGTGTTGGAATAGTCCATGTGCATGTGGGAGGTGTTGGAATAGTCCATGTGCAGGTGGGAGGTGTTGCAATTGTCCATGTGCATGTGGGAGGTGTTGGAATAGTCCATGTGCATGTGGGAGGTGTTGGAATAGTCCATGTGCATGTGGGAGGTGTTGGAATAGTCCATGTGCAGGTGGGAGGTGTTGGAATAGTCCATGTGCATGTGGGAGGTGTTGGAGTAGTCCATGTGCATGTGGGAGGTGTTGGAGTAGTCCATGTGCAGGTGGGAGGTGTTGGAATAGTCCATGTGCAGGTGGGAGGTGTTGGAATAGTCCATGTGCAGGTGGGAGGTGTTGGAGTAGTCCATGTGCAGGTGGGAGGTGTTGGAGTAGTCCATGTGCAGGTGGGAGGTGTTGGAATAGTCCATGTGCAGGTGGGAGGTGTTGGAGTAGTCCATGTGCAGGTGGGAGGTGTTGGAATAGTCCATGTGCAGGTGGGAGGTGTTGGAGTAGTCCATGTGCAGGTGGGAGGTGTTGGAATAGTCCATGTGCAGATGGGAGGTGTTGGAGTAGTCCATGTGCAGATGGGAGGTGTTGGAGTAGTCCATGTGCAGGTGGGAGGTGTTGGAATAGTCCATGTGCAGGTGGGAGGTGTTGGAGTAGTCCATGTGCATGTGGGAGGTGTTGGAATAGTCCATGTGCAGGTGGGAGGGGTCTGCCGTGACAGCCCGCCCTCCAGGTCTGTGGACGTCCTGCAGATCAGAGCAGATCCATTCATGTGGGAGTCATTGATATTCTCTTACTTTAAATGTCTATAATGATTTAAGACTAATCTAAGAGGCTGAAACAGAGTTTGTTGTGATGAGTCCGTGACATGCTCCTCTTCGTCTCCCTCTTCTCAGACACAAAACCAGAACCTTGGACTCTCAGGCCGAGGACCTGAGCTCTGGGGATGACAAGAAGAATGGCTTCATGGACTTCTTCAAACAGCTCCCCCGGAAAGGAACACGCTCTCCCAAAGTCTCAGCCCGAGGCAAGAGCCTGCAGCGGGAGAAGGAGGTGAGACACACACTCAGGAGGTGAGACACACACTCAGAAGGCTGTAACACACACTCAGGAGGTGAGACACACACTCAGGAGGTGGTAACACACACTCAGGAGGTGAGACACACACTCAGAAGGCTGTAACACACACTCAGGAGGTGAGACACACACTCAGGAGGCTGTAACACACACTCAGGAGGTGAGACACACACTCAGGAGGCTGTAACACACACTCAGGAGGTGAGACACACACTCAGGAGGCTGTAACACACACTCAGGAGGTGAGACACACACTCAGGAGGTGAGACACACACTCAGGAGGTGAGACACACACTTAGGAGGCTGTAACACACACTCAGGAGGTGAGACACACACTCAGGAGGTGAGACACACACTCAGGAGGCTGTAACACACACTCAGGAGGTGAGACACACACTCAGGAGGTGAGACACACACTCAGAAGGCTGTAACACACACTCAGGAGGTGAGACACACACTCAGGAGGCTGTAACACACACTCAGGAGGTGAGACACACACTCAGGAGGTGAGACACACACTCAGGAGGTGAGACACACACTCAGAAGGCTGTAATACACACTCAGGAGGCTGTAACACACACTCAGGAGGTGAGACACACACTCAGGAGGTGAGACACACACTCAGGAGGTGAGACACACACTCAGAAGGCTGTAATACACACTCAGGAGGTGAGACACACACTCAGGAGGTGAGACACACTCAGAAGGCTGTAACACACTCAGGAGGTGAGACACACACTCAGGAGGTGAGACACACACTCAGGAGGTGAGACACACACTCAGGAGGCTGTAACACACACTCAGGAGGTGAGACACACACTCAGGAGGTGAGACACTCAGAAGGCTGTAACACACACTCAGGAGGTGAGACACACACTCAGAAGGCTGTAATACACACTCAGGAGGTGAGACACACACTCAGGAGGTGAGACACACACTCAGAAGGCTGTAATACACACTCAGGAGGTGAGACACACACTCAGGAGGTGAGACACACACTCAGGAGGTGAGACACACACTCAGGAGGCTGTAACACACACTCAGGAGGTGAGACACACACTCAGGAGGTGAGACACTCAGGAGGCTGTAACACACATGTCCTGGTCGTTCTGGGAGATAATGTTGACATGTAAAATGTTTTGACCGCAGACAGATGTACTTCAGCTCCAGTCTGTACAGGATTATTCACAGGCTGTTTCTTACACAGAAGTTCAAGAGTGTTCAAGTTTACACACGTTCACAGATTTATACTTACATAAACGTGCTGTGTGCTCCTCATTCCTCCTCCTCTGTAACTGGTTGCAACACTGACATTTCTCCTGTTGGACAAACAAAGCATGTCTTCCTCTTGTCCACCAGGGGGAGCTGGCCTCTCCTCAGACCTCGTCGGACGAAGACGACGTCGACAAGAAGAAGAAGATGAGCACCAAAAAGATCAAGCGGCAACTGTCTCGGTTCTTCAAGAAGAAACTGGACAAAGAGAAGGACAAGCAGAAGGACCCGCCCCCAGCGAGGCCCAGCACCCTCCCTCTCCCTCCCCTCCTCCCCCGAGCCCCAGAGAAACCCCCAATCTCCCCCAGTAAGACCCTCATTTCATCTGAGACATGTCCAAAACTTATTAAGGGGAAAAACTTTTGTTTTAAAACGGAAAAAACTGCTCAGAGAATCTCTCTGGTCTCTCTCTGGTCTCTCTCTGGTCTCTTTCTGATCTCTCTCTCTGGTCTCTCTCTGGTCTCTCTCTGGTCTCTCTCTGGTCTCTCTCTGGTCTCTCTCTTTGGTCTTCCTCTGGTCTCTATTTAGTCTTTCTCTGGTCTTTATCTAGTCATTCTCTGGTCTCTCTCTGGTCTTTGGTCTCTCTCTTTGGTCTCTATGGTCCAATTAATTTAAATAAATGAGAGTCAAAGTGAAGGCTTTGTTATACCTCATTTTAAAGCTAATCTTCATAGGAAATCAACCACCAAATCTATTTGACTCCAAACAATGAACATAAAACAGACAGACAGTTATGAAGAATGTATCAAAAAACAAAACATGTACTGTAAATCCGTCTACAAGAGCCTGCTTTCTATTTGGTCTGGTTTTGTTTCAATCCAAGCTGACATTTTTTGGTATTTGGTATTTCAGATAACTGAAATACAATCAGTCCAAATCAATCAAGCAGAATAGCCAAACTCATTGTCAGTAATAATTTCACAACAGAAAGTAACTTGCAAGTGGACCACTGTTTCCAGATCTGTCCCTTCACTGGTCTCTCTCTGGTCTCTCTCTTTGGTCTCTCTCTGGTCTCTCTCTGGTCTGACGCTGTTTCCAGAGTCCCCTCCCTGTGCTGGTGTCAGTGTCGGAGCTGTAGTACCCACAGTGACCAGCAGGAGTATGTGCTGGTGTCAGTGTGGGGGCTGTAGTACCCACAGTGACCAGCAGGAGTATGTGCTGGTGTCAGTGTGGGGGCTGTAGTACCCACAGTGACCAGCAGGAGTATGTGCTGGTGTCAGTGTGGGGGCTGTAGTACCCACAGTGACCAGCAGGAGTATGTGCTGGTGTCAGTGTGGGGGCTGTAGTACCCACAGTGACCAGCAGGAGTATGTGCTGGTGTCAGTGTGGGGGCTGTAGTACCCACAGTGACCAGCAGGAGTATGTGCTGGTGTCAGTGTGGGGGCTGTAGTACCCACAGTGACCAGCAGGAGTATGTGCTGGTGTCAGTGTGGGGGCTGTAGTACCCACAGTGACCAGCAGGAGTATGTGCTGGTGTCAGTGTGGGGGCTGTAGTACCCACAGTGACCAGCAGGAGTATGTGCTGTGCAGACCACCCCCCAGAGTTCTACGAGGAGGTGGCAGAGCGCCTGGAGCAGATCGTCTACAACAAAACCAGCATCAAGAAGCAGTCCCCCGAGCCGCCGCCGCCGCCAAGAGAGAAGGCCCCACCACGGGAACCGGCCCCTCCACGAGAACCAGCCCCTCCACGAGAACCAGCCCCTCCACGAGAACCGGCTCCTCCACGAGAACCGGCTCCTCCACGAGACCCACAGACCCCCCCAGGACCCACCCCAGGTACGAGACCCACAGACCCCCCCAGGACCCACCCCAGGTACGAGACCCACAGACCCCCCCAGGACCCACCCCAGGTACGAGACCCACAGACCCCCCCAGGACCCACCCCAGGTACGAGACCCACAGACCCCCCCCAGGACCCACCCCAGGTACGAGACCCACAGACCCCCCCAGGACACACCCCAGGTACGAGACCCACAGACCCCCCCCAGGACCCACCCCAGGTACGAGACCCACAGACCCCCCCAGGACCCACCCCAGGTACGAGACCCACAGACCCCCCCAGGACACACCCCAGGTACGAGACCCACAGACCCCCCCAGGACCCACCCCAGGTACGAGACCCACAGACCCCCCCCAGGACCCACCCCAGGTACGAGACCCACAGACCCCCCCAGGACCCACCCTAGGTACGAGACCCACAGACCCCCCCAGGTACGAGACCCACAGACCCCCCCCCAGGACCCACCCCAGGTACGAGACCCACAGACCCCCCAGGACCCACCCCAGGTACGAGACCCACAGACCCCCCCAGGTACGAGACCCACAGACCCCCCAGGACCCACCCCAGGTACGAGACCCACAGACCCCCCCAGGACCCACCCCAGGTACGAGACCCACAGACCCCCCCAGGACACACCCCAGGTACGAGACCCACAGACCCCCCCAGGACACACCCCAGGTACGAGACCCACAGACCCCCCCCAGGAGCCACCCCAGGTACGAGACCCACAGACCCCCCCCAGGACCCACCCCAGGTACGAGACCCACAGACCCCCCCCCAGGACACACCCCAGGTACGAGACCCACAGACCCCCCCAGGACCCACCCCAGGTACGAGACCCACAGACCCCCCCCCAGGACCCACCCCAGGTACGAGACCCACAGACCCCCCCAGGTACGAGACCCACAGACCCCCCAGGACCCACCCTAGGTACGAGACCCACAGACCCCCCCAGGACCCACCCCAGGTACGAGACCCACAGACCCCCCCAGGACCCACCCCAGGTACGAGACCCACAGACCCCCCCAGGACCCACCCCAGGTACGAGACCCACAGACCCCCCCCAGGACCCACCCCAGGTACGAGACCCACAGACCCCCCCAGGACCCACCCCAGGTACGAGACCCACAGACCCCCCCAGGACCCACCCCAGGTACGAGACCCACAGACCCCCCAGGATCAACTCACGTCAATAAGCAGTCAGCCGTTCCCTGTCTACTGTGTGTATGTATATTTTTCTGAAGTCCACTCCCAGCCTGGTCGCACCACACCATCGTACACATTTTTATTTCATACTAAGGCCTGGATTTGCTCCATTGTCTCCGTGAACAGGTGGGAGGGGCTAACTCCTTTTGCAGATTGAAACGATTGGATCTGAGTTTACCGTCACCATAGACTGTATTTATTAACGGACAGAGTCACGCCAATCTCCGCCGTTCTAACTAATGGGCCAAAAAATGTGCTCTCCTGGAGCAATCCAAAATGGCCGCGAGTGGTCCCGCCCACAAGAAAATTGTGAAACGCATCTGCACATGCGTCAGCCGGCGCAACTCCATTCATTTGAACGAGAGACTTCAAAAATTCACAGCGACTAAACTAGAGTGGACCAAAACAATCCACCCCCCTCAGCATTGACACACATGTGGAACAGAGCTTTGGGCCAAGAGCCAACTTTTGGTCCATCCTGTAAAGACGTTTTTGAGAGGTCTGCCAATGCTATATGTTAGCATTGGCTAATTCTACTTCTGAGTCCACCCCCACAGGCCCGGGGTGGTATTGCAGCATGTCAGCGCACGTCATTTTGGCCACTTTTGAGCTGGGACCCTCCCCCACTGACCGTCACGTATGTAATAAAGAGCCCGAGTGAGAGAGGCATTTAGCATTAGCCTAGCTTTAGCATTAGCCTAGCTTTAGCAATAGCCTAGCTTCAGCCATCTCCTTTGCCACTAACGGAGCCCGTGGGGAGTAGAGACACCACATCTTTGGAGCAATGACTTTTTCTAAACATTCTTCTTTCTCCGGCTTCAGTTTCTTGATATTTGGATTGAACCAGAACAGATAATTTTACTATCACATTCTCCGACAAACCACAACCAGCAAATTCAGCACAAACTCTTGACGTCACCGACACCTACAACACCCGCCTCCCCCGCTCTCTGATTGGTCGGAGGGGCCAGAGTTTACGAGTGGATAAGGCCAGACGAGGTTAGCACAGAGTGAAGGATACTTTATAGAACCAACTTCTGCTGCACTCTCAGCAGAGTCTTTTGGAGTTTGACTTAACAAGTTTAGAGACAGAAAGATTTGTCTTCACAAAAATACTCCAGCTCAACATTTGAAGATGAGCTGATTTTTAAGACTACTAGAAATCCCAGAGCCATATCTGTACCTGTGTTTCGTTGACTCGTACCTTTGCCAGTCTTTTGATGACTCGTCCCTGTGTTCACTGACTCGTACCTGTACCTGTGTTCACTGACTCGTCCCTGTGTTCACTGACTCGTACCTGTACCTGTGTTCACTGACTCGTCCCTGTGTTCACTGACTCGTATCTGTACCTGTGTTCACTGACTTGTCTCTGTGTTCACTGACTCGTACCTGTACCTGTGTTCCCTGACTCGTCCCTGTGTTCACTGACTCGTATCTGTACCTGTGTTCACTGACTCGTCCCTGTGTTCACTGACTCGTATCTGTACCTGTGTTCACTGACTTGTCCCTGTGTTCACTGACTCGTCCCTGTATTCACTGACTCGTACCTGTACCTGTGTTCCCTGACTCGTCCTTGTGTTCACTGACTCGTATCTGTACCTGTGTTCACTGACTTGTCCCTGTGTTCACTGACTCGTCCCTGTGTTCACTGACTCGTCCCTGTACCTGTGTTCACTGACTCGTCCCTGTGTTCAGACTCGTACCTGTACCTGTGTTCACTGACTCGTCCCTGTGTTCACTGACTCGTATCTGTACCTGTGTTCACTGACTCGTCCCTGTGTTCACTGACTGGTACCTGTACCTGTGTTCACTGACTCGTCCCTGTGTTCACTGACTCGTATCTGTACCTGTGTTCACTGACTTGTCCCTGTGTTCACTGACTCGTCCCTGTGTTCACTGACTCGTCCCTGTACCTGTGTTCACTGACTCGTCCCTGTGTTCACTGACTCGTATCTGTACCTGTGTTCACTGACTTGTCCCTGTGTTCACTAAGTTGTCCCTGTGTTCACTGACTCGTCCCTGTACCTGTGTTCACTGACTTGTCCCTGTGTTCACTGACTCGTCCCTGTGTTCACTGACTCGTCCCTGTACCTGTGTTCACTGACTTGTCCCTGTGTTCACTGACTCGTCCCTGTGTTCACTGACTTGTACCTGTACCTGTGTTCACTGACTCGTCCCTGTACCTGTGTTCACTGACTCGTACCTGTACCTGTGTTCCCTGACTCGTCCCTGTGTTCACTGACTCGTATCTGTACCTGTGTTCACTGACTTGTCCCTGTGTTCACTGACTCGTCCCTGTGTTCACTGACTCGTCCCTGTACCTGTGTTCACTGACTCGTTCCTGTGTTCACTGACTCGTACCTGTACCTGTGTTCACTGACTCGTCCCTGTGTTCACTGACTCGTATCTGTACCTGTGTTCACTGACTCGTCCCTGTGTTCACTGACTCGTCCCTGTGTTCACTGACTCGTCCCTGTGTTCACTGACTCGTACCTGTGTTCACTGACTCGTCCCTGTGTTCACTGACTCGTATCTGTACCTGTGTTCACTGACTTGTCCCTGTGTTCACTGACTCGTACCTGTACCTGTGTTCCCTGACTCGTCCCTGTGTTCACTGACTCGTATCTGTACCTGTGTTCACTGACTCGTCCCTGTGTTCACTGACTCGTATCTGTACCTGTGTTCACTGACTTGTCCCTGTGTTCACTGACTCGTCCCTGTGTTCACTGACTCGTCCCTGTACCTGTGTTCACTGACTCGTACCTGTACCTGTGTTCCCTGACTCGTCCTTGTGTTCACTGACTCGTATCTGTACCTGTGTTCACTGACTTGTCCCTGTGTTCACTGACTCGTCCCTGTGTTCACTGACTCGTCCCTGTACCTGTGTTCACTGACTCGTCCCTGTGTTCAGACTCGTACCTGTACCTGTGTTCACTGACTCGTCCCTGTGTTCACTGACTCGTATCTGTACCTGTGTTCACTGACTCGTCCCTGTGTTCACTGACTCGTACCTGTGTTCACTGACTCGTCCCTGTGTTCACTGACTCGTATCTGTACCTGTGTTCACTGACTTGTCCCTGTGTTCACTGACTCGTCCCTGTGTTCACTGACTCGTCCCTGTACCTGTGTTCACTGACTCGTCCCTGTGTTCACTGACTCGTATCTGTACCTGTGTTCACTGACTTGTCCCTGTGTTCACTGACTCGTCCCTGTGTTCACTGACTCGTCCCTGTACCTGTGTTCACTGACTCGTCCCTGTGTTCACTGACTCGTCCCTGTACCTGTGTTCACTGACTCGTCCCTGTGTTCACTGACTCGTCCCTGTGTTCACTGACTCGTACCTGTACCTGTGTTCACTGACTCGTATCTGTACCTGTGTTCACTGACTCGTCCCTGTGTTCACTGACTCGTCCCTGTGTTCACTGACTCGTACCTGTACCTGTGTTCACTGACTCGTCCCTGTGTTCACTGACTCGTATCTGTACCTGTGTTCACTGACTTGTCCCTGTGTTCACTGACTTGTCCCTGTGTTCACTGACTCGTACCTGTACCTGTGTTCCCTGACTCGTCCCTGTGTTCACTGACTCGTATCTGTACCTGTGTTCACTGACTCGTCCCTGTGTTCACTGACTCGTCCCTGTGTTCACTGACTCGTATCTGTACCTGTGTTCACTGACTTGTCCCTGTGTTCACTGACTCGTCCCTGTGTTCACTGACTCGTCCCTGTGTTCACTGACTCGTACCTGTACCTGTGTTCACTGACTCGTCCCTGTGTTCACTGACTCGTATCTGTACCTGTGTTCACTGACTTGTCCCTGTGTTCACTGACTCGTCCCTGTACCTGTGTTCACTGACTCGTACCTGTACCTGTGTTCCCTGACTCGTCCCTGTGTTCACTGACTCGTATCTGTACCTGTGTTCACTGACTTGTCCCTGTGTTCACTGACTCGTCCCTGTGTTCACTGACTCGTCCCTGTGTTCAGACTCGTACCTGTACCTGTGTTCACTGACTCGTATCTGTACCTGTGTTCACTGACTCGTCCCTTTGTTCACTGACTCGTCCCTGTGTTCACTGACTCGTATCTGTACCTGTGTTCACTGACTTGTCCCTGTGTTCACTGACTTGTCCCTGTGTTCACTGACTTGTCCCTGTGTTCACTGACTCGTCCCTGTGTTCACTGACTCGTCCCTGTACCTGTGTTCACTGACTCGTTCCTGTGTTCACTGACTCGTATCTGTACCTGTGTTCACTGACTTGTTCCTGTGTTCACTGACTCGTCCCTGTACCTGTGTTCACTGACTTGTCCCTGTGTTCACTGACTCGTCCCTGTGTTCACTGACTCGTCCCTGTACCTGTGTTCACTGACTCGTCCCTGTGTTCACTGACTCGTACCTGTACCTGTGTTCACTGACTCGTCCCTGTTTTCACTGACTTGTATCTGTACCTGTGTTCACTGACTTGTCCCTGTGTTCACTGACTCGTCCCTGTACCTGTGTTCACTGACTCGTACCTGTACCTGTGTTCCCTGACTCGTCCCTGTGTTCACTGACTCGTATCTGTACCTGTGTTCACTGACTTGTCCCTGTGTTAACTGACTCGTCCCTGTACCTGTGTTCACTGACTCGTCCCTGTGTTCACTGACTTGTATCTGTACCTGTGTTCACTGACTCGTCCCTGTACCTGTGTTCACTGACTTGTCCCTGTGTTCACTGACTCGTCCCTGTGTTCACTGACTCGTCCCTGTACCTGTGTTCACTGACTCGTCCCTGTGTTCACTGACTCGTATCTGTACCTGTGTTCACTGACTTGTCCCTGTGTTCACTGACTCGTACCTGTACCTGTGTTCACTGACTCGTCCCTGTACCTGTGTTCACTGACTTGTCCCTGTGTTCACTGACTCGTACCTGTACCTGTGTTCACTGACTCGTCCCTGTACCTGTGTTCACTGACTCGTCCCTGTGTTCACTGACTCGTACCTGTACCTGTGTTCCCTGACTCGTCCCTGTGTTCACTGACTCGTCCCTGTGTTCACTGACTCGTCCCTGTACCTGTGTTCACTGACTCGTCCCTGTGTTCACTGACTCGTCCCTGTACCTGTGTTCACTGACTCGTCCCTGTGTTCACTGACTCGTATCTGTACCTGTGTTCACTGACTTGTCCCTGTGTTCACTGACTCGTCCCTGTGTTCACTGACTCGTCCCTGTACCTATGTTCACTGACTTGTCCCTGTGTTCACTGACTCGTCCCTGTGTTCACTGACTCGTCCCTGTACCTGTGTTCACTGACTCGTCCCTGTGTTCACTGACTCGTACCTGTACCTGTGTTCACTGACTCGTCCCTGTGTTCACTGACTCGTCCCTGTACCTGTGTTCACTGACTCGTACCTGTACCTGTGTTCCCTGACTCGTCCCTGTGTTCACTGACTCGTATCTGTACCTGTGTTCACTGACTCGTCCCTGTGTTCACTGACTCGTCCCTGTACCTGTGTTCACTGACTCGTCCCTGTGTTCACTGACTCGTCCCTGTGTTCACTGACTCGTCCCTGTGTTCACTGACTCGTACCTGTACCTGTGTTCACTGACTCGTCCCTGTGTTCACTGACTCGTATCTGTACCTGTGTTCACTGACTTGTCCCTGTGTTCACTGACTCGTCCCTGTACCTGTGTTCACTGACTCGTCCCTGTGTTCACTGACTCGTCCCTGTGTTCACTGACTCGTCCCTGTACCTGTGTTCACTGACTCGTCCCTGTACCTATGTTCACTGACTCGTCCCTGTACCTGTGTTCACTGACTCGTCCCTGTACCTGTGTTCACTGACTCGTCCCTGTGCTACAGTGGATAAAGAGGCAGTGGTGCAGCGGCTGGTGACTCTGATCACTCTGGAGGGAGACGCCATCAACTCCAAGGTTCAACACTCGCTCAAAACACAACTCAGATTCAGATTCATTTATTTGCCATTTGCAGTAAAACTACATTGGAAAAACTGTGCAAGACTACCCTAGTGTGCACCAGACAGAGAAGACGGCACACACCAGAGCTCTTGCCACGGCGCCATGCGACAAACAGAAACAGCAGAGAGCAATAACACACAGTTTCACAGACAGTTAAAGACCTTATGACGGGTTTTTAAAAAAAAAATAGTGGATATCAAAATTGCATGACAATGTTGATTTGAAAGAGATTCCGGCAAAAAAAATCCTATATTTTATAAAAAGAACGTGTTTTTCATGAATTTAAGTTGTCTATGCCAGTGTTTTTCAAACACTGTGCCGCGGCACACTAGTGTGCCGTATGATATTGTCTGGTGTGCCGTGAGAAATTCGTCTACTTTGTCTAAAAATAGCTGCATTCGCTGTTGACGAACGGTGACTTGTTTTGAACTGTGAGTAACCATGTAATACTTTTTCAAATCAGTAGATGGCAGCAGATAGCTAAGTACTTTGAAACTGAAAAATTGAATGCGACCACTGGCTACAGGTCAGCATTGTGGCAAGAAAGGTAAAATTGGATGCGACCAACAAATGTGTGAGGGAGCGAGACAAGAGCTTTGTGGCGAGTGAGAAGTGAAAGTGATAGAGACGTTTTTGAAAATGAATTATGCCGTTTCTGAACAGGATTAACATCCTCCGCTCTGCCCCGGGGCAGCTGTGGCCGCGTTGTAGTGGTTTAACTATGAAATGTACGATTTTTGTACAACAGCTCTCGCGAACGCACTTCTGAACTGGGTACCGAGCCCAGTGCCCAACACAATACAGCACTCTACAGGTGACAATTGCTCATTACACATAAATTGCCGTTTTGAGTGTGAAAAAGTGTCCAAGGTGGGATTTGAACCCAAGTTTCTGGATTGGCAGTCCATCGACACAACCACTGGACTATCTCAGTGACAACGAAATGATACATTCTAGTAGTTATCTCACACTCGCTGCACACGGCCTTGTCATCTTGAATATCCGCGAAAAAAGAACGAATACCAAATTGTAAACAACTTACAGCGTTGAAACGTACCCGTTCTGACGTCACCAAGGGCTGTGAAGTTTTTTCGTTTCTAAGGGCGTTGCTATGGGGTTATTTCGATTTGGGGGGATCAGACGACAAAAAAAACAACAACTGATTTTGAAACCTTTAGTAGTTCTCTTCTAATATAAAATGGTATTAAAACTGTATTTCTAAATAAATCAAACCCGTCATAAGGTCTTTAAGTTAGATAGACACAGAGTTTTTTCTTGGGATGAGCACCTCCGACCGCCTAGTGTGGCTGTCAGAGGGGGCGGGGACAGGGAGGAGTGAGACCCTTTAGTAACACTGTTAAACATAACAATGTGTGTAGTAGGATTGTCCTTTTTCGTCCCACAGTGGAGAAATGTCAGTGTCATCGTTGCACATTACAGCAGAATAAAAAGTATGAAATAAGATAAATATATGATCCTTATTTATATTGCACATTTTAAGTTCCCCCAAAGCACTTTACAAAGTTCAGAGTTTAGTCCATTCTCTCCACACGGTGACGACAGACGTGAGACCAGAACACACTGGACCATCAAAGCCTCCGACCAAACACCCTCCATTCACTCACTTGTTACATTCAGACCTATTGTACATGTCTGTAGTGATAGGGGAAACCGGAGCACCTGGAGAAAACCTATGCACACACATGTAAACTCCATACAGAGAGGCCCTTTTCCGACCCAAGACCTTCTTGCTGAGAAGCGAGAGTGCTAACCACTCAGCCACCGTGTCGCAGAGGCTTCCGCACATCAATCAGGATCTATTGTTTAAGATGATAGATCAAATAGAATAAATGCAATTTAAAATAATAAAATAGTAAGTAATAAGATAACAAACTCCGGGACTAGAATTGCACTTGGTTGAAGGTCATTTATAAATAAGAACGAAGTTCCATTTGCTCACTTGCTTTAATGAGTAACAGCAGTAGAATGACAATAATCAAACATGTCATGAGCGTCTGATGAAGCCGGAAGGTTTACATGTTATGACTTCCTGTTCCGCTATGTCCTACAAAATAAAGGACCGTAATGCAATATTCCCTATCTCCCCCCGAGCCTTTAACACAGTAACACAAAGGCTGATAAAGAAAAAACGGCACGAAGGACCATAGTGCAACACTAACGTGAAAGTGTACAGGGCAGAGGAACTAGAAACACAAATGGAAGATCCAACAGGAACACAATGCCCACAAAACCCCAAGACTATTCCAAGACATAGTCCCCATGCCAGGCAGGCACACACCGGCTTTCCTGGTGGACCGGCGTAACTCCGTAGCTGGCGACGCAGCCGGCGGCGAAGGGGCCAAGGGGGCCACAGAGTCCGGTGGCGGAGTACAAGGGATGTCCCGGGCTGGCACCGCAGGCATGAGGGAAACTGGCCGCAAACCGCGGCGGGGAGAGCCCGCAGGTGGATGTGTCGGCGGCGGGGTGGGCCCAGACTCCACCACAGGTGTCACCGGGCTGCACACACGACTGGACGGCAATGGCGACACAGGAAGAGCTGGCATCGTGACACAAGGCGCCAAGTCGTCATAGAGAGATCGAGGAGGAAGCTGGTCATTGCGAACTGGGTAGAACTTGCGCAAGAATCTCCGGTTCCGAAGCGAGACCCTGCCCGATCCGTCAATCTTGATTACATACTGGTCATGCTGGCGCACCTCCACAACACTGCCCGTCCTGTCCCATTTGTTGGGGTGAGGTCCCGTCTGGTTCTGCACACGGACAAAGTCCCCCACCTTGAGGGGTGGGAGTCGTTTGGTGTGTTCCGCCCAAGCAACAGCAGTGCGGACGTGGCGTTTGCGGAGGGCCTCTTCTCTTGCAACCAGCGTCTCACGCCATGTTTCGTGCGGCCTGTACTTCCCGGGGGGAATCGGGATGAAATCGCGTATAGGGCGGCCGAAGACACACAACGCCGGAGAAAGCTTCGTGTCAGGGTCCGGTGTATTACGGTATTGCAGTATCGCCCTCTGCACCGCGTCAGTGTCGAGTTCGCCGTGCGGACCTGTATTGTCAGTGATGAGCCGCTTCATCGTCTTCACTCCAATCTCCCGCGCGGCAGTTGCTGTGAGGGAAGGCCACCGATGAGAGGCGATGATGCACACCCCATCTGCGCAGGAAAGACCTGGTCTCAGCGGAGGTGAACTCAGGCCCCCCGTCTGATGCCAGCTCCTCAGGCGTCCCATATGTTGCAAAAGCGCGGCGTAGGTGGCAAATGAGGTCCGCAGCGCCACCCGTTGATCTCGAGACGATTGGCCAGTTCGAGTAGCGGTCCACTATCACAAGGTAGTGCACGCCCCTGTGTATGAAAAAGTCTGAACACACAGCCTGAAAGGGGTATACAGCCATGATAGGAGGGGTCGGCGGCGCCGCAGGCTGAGAGGGTGCCATTCGGTGACAGTGCTCGCAGTCTTTTCGAGTGGCGGAGATGTCGGCCGACATGCCTGGCCAGAACACAGAAGACTCGGCACGAGCGGTCATCATTGAGACACCCTGGTGGGCAGCATGCAGGGCACTCAGTACCTCACCACGGAGCGAGGGTGGAATGATCACTCTGTCCTTGTACAGGACCACCCCATCAGCAGATGTAATGTCTTCGCGGTATTGGTGGAAGTTGCGAATGGCCACCGGCATTCCTGTCCTCGACTCGGGGAAGCCGTCCGCTGCTATCTCCTCCAGTGCACGCATGTCGTCGTCGCTGCAGGTGGCCTCCTTGACGCGATCCCACGTCACGGACCGCAGCGATTCAAGCCCAGCAGCGCACCAGGTCAGGTCTCCTTCCTCAACTTCGTCGTTTACTGGCCCTGTCAGTCGTATAAGGGACAGGACATCAGCGTGTGTGCTGGGCGAGAGGTGGGTCACCATGGCAGCATTGTCGTCCGGCAAATCCATGGGTGACGGGCACAGCGTGCCGACCGGCCTACGCGACATGGCATCCGCGGCCCTGTTCTTCATCCCCGGCACGTGCACGATGCGGAAGCGATAGCGCAGGGTCTTTTCCTTGAGGTTCCTGAGACGGGGGTTGGGTATGTCGTCGAGTGCCCTGTCGCCAAGGAGCTTGAGTAACGGCTTGTGGTCGACCGCCACGATCAGGTCCCTGCAACCTAAGACGAAGTAGCGTGCTTTGTCCAATGCGTCAGCGACTGCAAGAGCTTCACCTTCTACGGGCGCGTATCTGGACTCAGCTGCGTGTGTAAACCTGCTGCCAACCAAGGTCACCTTCCACCCATCGGCGCAGCAGAAGGGTCTGACCGGCATGCACTGACAGTGCTTCTGGAACAGCCAGAAACCGACGCCCTCCTTCGACCAGTCTGTGGCGAGGCACGTCGACTTGGACTTGTCGAATATGCGGACGCCGTGCTCGATCTCCCGGACGATGGTCTCTTTCGACTCGCGGAAAATGTCCTCCAACTCCGGAGACCACTCAAAGCGTGTCTCATGCTGCAGGAGTTTCCGGAATGGTTGCATACGTTCGGCTATGCTAAAGGCGTAGGCTACCTGATTGACAAGTCCGAACCATGACCTGACGTCGGTGACGTTGCGCGGTCGTGGAAAGTCTCGGATCGCCTCCAGGTAACGGCTGCACGGGCGTACATCAGACATGGTGATTGTGAAGCCAGCAAAGTCCACTGTGGGTGCAGCAAAGACAAACTTATCTGGGTTGAGGATGATGCCGTTCCTGCCACAGACGTCCAGCCATTGTATTGCCTGGAAGTAGCTCTCCTCAATCGAATCCGCCCACAGTAATGTGTCGTCCACACACTTGGTCTTGTTGCCAATGTCCGCGACCACTTCGTCATAGCGTCGTGAGTAACCGTCCCCCGACGCCAAGTATCCTTGTGGGGCTGAGAGGTACCGGTAGCGCCCCCAAGGGCTGATGAACGTCGTCTTGTGGCGGTCGTCCTCATGCAGTGGGACGCTGTGATAGCCATTCCAAGCGTCGAACACAGTCTTGCGTTTGCCACTGGGAACCTGTCTCGCCTGGTGGAAGGGGGACTGTGTGTGGTGGGTCTCACGGAGCGCATGCTTGTTCAGGGCTTGGAAGTCGACGGTGCGCCGAGGTGTGCCATTCTTTTTCGCGCAGACTACCATGCGATGGCACCACGTCACCGGCGTGCCGATGGGCACCTCTTCCAGGACGCCAAGACGAACGTCCTGGTCAAGGCCTGCCTTCACTTCATTTTGCCAGTGTATGGCCACGGGAATCGGGGTGTGGCAGGCAACTGGCGTCGCATTTTCATTGAGCATGAGTCGAAGTGGCGGACCGGACATTCTTGGCAGGGGCTGGTGGGGGCACGTATTGAATGTGCTCTGAGCGTATAGCCCCAGTAGGTGTTTCCGTAGAGCCTCTCTGTTAGCTTCAGTGGCCGGCATGGGGAGCGTAGTCGGTCTGGTTGGGGGCTCCGCGCGTTGCGGGCAGTCACATGGGTCCGAGGTCGCCAGGTTGACCTCCCCGAGCGTTGGAAACTTGTCTGAGATCATGCCCAGGTCTACACAGGCCGTACGAGAAAGGAATATACGGTCTGAGGTGTCTGTCACGTATGCGATTTGGCGCGTCTCCAATCTACGGGCGTCGCTGCTGGTACCAGCGAACCTGACGACGGCGGCCCCGAGAATCCGTATTCCCTCATCGTTTGCGGCCTTCATCGTCATGGATACGGGAATAAGGTCTTCTGTACTTAGTCCCAGCCGTTGGGCGACTTTGACACCGATTAGACAGCTCTGGCACCCTGTGTCAGCCATGGCAGGCAGGGTCACGGCCCGGGTGCGTTTCTGAAGGTCGAGGCCCAGCGCTTTGTAATCCTCGCGTTCGATGGTGATGGTGAGGTGGATGTATGGCTGTGGGTTGGATGGCCGCCTCGTCCACTTATCGCACATATCATCATACAGGTGGTGGGCGAGGGGAAGTGTGCGTATCTTGTCGTTAGAGCTACTTGCAGTCAGCGTGCATAGCTCGACGAATGCGGCCGTCTGCTGTTCGTCACACACCCCATCAGTCTCCTCTGGTGGGGGCCTAGGCGAACGACCACCTAAGCAGGCCTTGTCAAAGTGGTTCTGACGACTGCATTTTCGACACGTCTTGCCATATGCGGGGCATTCAGCACGCCTGGTGCGCCACTGTGGTGTTTTTCCATGGCCTGTCTCGCCGCAGTAGATGCACGTCCCCTCAGGCTTGACCTTTGATGTCTCTGTCCTGGTGCCCCCTCTGGTACGGGTGTCCTGCTGCTTCCCTCGTCGGTACGAGCTGCTGACTGCGTCTGTGCTCTGGGGACCAAGTAGCCGTGATGCTGAGCGCTTTCCTGACTCTTTAGCTTCGATGTATTCTATCATGTCCCTCAATGGCATATTTTGATTTTTCTCGCCAAGCAGATCAAGCTGTATTTCTTGGTCTGCTATGCCACGGGCGATTACGTCGCGCAGTATGTCCTCTGTGAAGTCATTGACTTGGTTGCACCCCTCTTTGGTGCAATTCATTTCATATTTACATGTGTCCGCCTGCCCTTTCAAGCGAGCGTAGAATGATCGGATGGGTTCTTCGTGTCCCTGTCGCATGTTAGACAGGGTCACTCGAGCTACCATTGTGTTCTCTGCACGCACAGCGAGTGCCCTCATGGCAGAGAGGACATCCTCTTCCTCACTGTCCACTAGGCTCTTGCCTGCTGCGCGGGTGAGGTCCTTCCTCAGATCTTCCTCACAGCACTCTAGTAGTTGTGTAACAATGTCAGATCCGATCAATTTGGTCCCCCTCTTGTATTCACCCCAGCGGGTTAGAAAGTATGACCAGGTCTCAGCCGTCCCTGCCAACGCTATGGAGGGGCGCTTGAGTTTCTCCATCTTAGCATTCATGTATGGCTCCCTGGGGGCCGCAGCGTGCGTGGTCGCATGTATGTTCAGCATGGCTACCACTACTGCTATTTCTTCATGTGTGGCTACATAGTCACAGTTTTCAACAGGGCAATGCACGCTCATCTTTGGTCTTGCAGTGTTATGCTTTCTCTTCTTTGTTTTCTATGATGTACTCATTCATTCATGTTCCCGGGCGACGTTGCTCACTCGTGGTCCACTCACTTGTTTATCGATGCTGCAGGTGCTGCACTCTGGCGCAGGTGCTCTCTGCTCGGCATTGTTCGCATGTTTGATTATAAATAAGAACGAAGTTCCATTTGCTCACTTGCTTTAATGAGTAACAGCAGTAGAATGACAATAATCAAACATGTCATGAGCGTCTGATGAAGCCGGAAGGTTTACATGTTATGACTTCCTGTTCCGCTATGTCCTACAAAATAAAGGACCGTAATGCAATATTCCCTAATTTACAGATATTGTAATAATGCATCGGTTTTATTTAGCACTTTTCTGGACACTCAAAGTCTCTTAACATCATAATTCACTACTACTGTAGCCACAGCTGCCCTGGGACACACTGACAGAAGAGAGGCAACCAGTCTGTGTCATGGGCCCCTCCCACCACCACCAACCGTCCACACACACATCAGACTCATTCTAATGTGGGGGAAGTGTCTTGCCTAAGGACACAACCACAGTTTAGCACTTTACAGCCACAGCCGCCCCACTGTAGCACCTGCTGTTCCCAGAGGTCTCTCATCACAGTACTGACCAGGCCCTGACCTGCTTAGCTTCAGAGGTCTTTGTCTCAGATGTGCCTAACGTGTGTGTCTGCGTTTGTGTGTGTCTGTGTGTTTCTCTCTGTGTATGTCTCTTGTCTCTGTGTGTGTGTGTGTCTCTCTCTCTCTGTGTGTCTCTCTGTGTCTCTGTGTGTGTCTTTCTGTCTCTCTGTGTTTGTCTCTCTGTGTCTGTCTCTGTGTGTGCGTCTCGGTGTGTGTCTCTGTATGTGTCTATCTGTGTGTGTCTCTCTCTCTGTGTCTGTCTCTGTGTGTGTGTCTCGGTGTGTCTGTCTGTGTGTGTGTCTCTCTCTCTGTGTGTCTCTCTGTGTCTGTCTCTCTGTGTTTGTCTCTCTATGTGTCTGTCTCTGTGTGTGTGTCTCGGTGTGTGTCTGTCTGTGTGTGTCTCTCTGTCTCTGTGTGTCTCTCTGTGTTTGTCTCTCTATGTGTCTGTCTCTGTGTGTGTGTCTCGGTGTGTGTGTCTGTCTATGTGTGTGTCTCTATCTCTCTGTGTGTGTCTCTGTCTCTGTGTGTCTCTCTGTGTCTGTCTCTCTATGTGTCTGTCTCTGTGTGTGTGTCTCGGTGTGTGTGTCTCGGTGTGTGTCTGTCTGTGTGTGTCTCAGATCGAGTCAGAGCCCTTGCTGCGCTCCAGCTTGTCTCGTCTGTCGTACGCTTCCTTCTCTCGGCTCCTGGACGTTGTGAGCAGTGACCCCTGTGTGTGTGAGACCCCCGTCCCGGTCCCCAGCCCCACCCTGCAGCGCATCGCTGTCTCCATGGAGGTGTCCCGCCGCATCGTCACGGCAACCGGGGCCCAGCGCATGCAGGGATTCGCCGAGCGCTACATGGAGAACTTTGCCCCCTGGGTCAAACGCCAGGGTGGATGGGTAAGACCAGAGGGAGACCAGAGGGAGACCAGAGAGAGACCAGAGAGAGACCAGAGAGAGATCAGAGAGAGACCAGAGAGAGACCAGAGAGAGACCAGAGAGAGACCAGAGGGAGACCAGAGGGAGACCAGAGGGAGACCAGAGGGAGACCAGAGGGAGACCAGAGGGAGACCAGAGGGAGACCAGAGGGAGACCAGAGAGAGACCAGAGGGAGACCAGAGAGAGACCAGAGAGAGACCAGAGAGAGACCAGAGAGAGACCAGAGAGAGACCAGAGAGAGACCAGAGAGAGACCAGAGGGAGACCAGAGAGAGACCGGAGGGAGACCGGAGAGAGACCGGAGGGAGACCAGAGGGAGACACCAGAGAGAGACCAAAGAGAGACCAGAGAGAGACCAGGGGGAGACCAGAGAGAGACCAGTGAGAGACCAGAGACAGAGAAGAGAAAGAGGTAAAGGTGCTATTAATCCTTGTACGGCAATTCATCCTCTGCATTTGACCCATCCTGATGCCACTAAGGCTTACGTCAGGTGCAGTGGTCGCCCTAGTAACAGCGCCCAGGAACCCATCTCCAGATATTGATGCTCGGCTTGGTCTGGACCAGAGCTGGAGGATTTAACCTAGTGAGCATGTTTTTAGTGGTAGGGGAAACCGGAGTACCCGGAGGAAACCTACGCAAGCACGGGGAGAACATGCAAACTCCACTCAGAAAGAGCCCGCTCCGCTGAGATATAATATTAAATTTTTAAAATATATAATTTATTTTAAATAGTAAATAAAAAAAACAAATTTCATTAAATAAATCTAAATTAGTATAATATAAATATAAAATAATATTATAAAATATTTAAAAAAATAAATAGAAGTAATTAATATATATATAATATAAAATAATAAATTATAAAATATATATATATTAAGTAATTTGATATATGATAAATAATAATAGTTATTTTTAAATAAGATGTATATTATATAAGAAAAAAAATTAAATATATAATTATATATTAAAAAATATATATTACAATATATAAAATTATAATATTATAAAAAATTATGTAAAAAAAAAAAATATAAATTGATAATATAAATACAATACAATAAGATTATAATAATATAGAAATATAAACTAGATATATATTTATATAAAATTAATAAAATATATATATATATATTTATATAAATAATATATTATTATATTAAAAATATATATAAAATTAATAATATAAGATTTATTTATAATAATACTATTAATTTTAAATATTAATAATTATAATAGTATATAATATAATATTAATATAAATTAATATATATGAAGTTTAAAATTAATATTAAATAAAAATATAACATTATATTTAATATTAAAGTATATTTTAATTAAATAAATATAAATATAAATAATAAATAAATATATAATAAATATATATAAATTTATAAAATAAATTAAATATTAAATTAATATGATAATTATATGATATAATAATTATATATAATATATAATAATTTTAGAAAAATAAATAAAAAAAAAAAAATAATTAAAAATTAAAATATAATATTGTATAATAAAAAAGTTAAAAAATTAAATATATTTAATTAAAAATATTATAAAATTAATAATATAAATATAACTATCACAAATATTATAATAATATATAATATAATTTTAAAGAAAAAAAGTAAAAAAAAATAAAAAAAAATAAATTTTATTATAATTTATTTTAATTAATTAATATTATTAATATATATTTTAAATATATAATTAATTATATTTATAATAATAACATTAATTATTAATAATATATATTATAAAATAGTAATATAAATATATAAATCATTAAAATTATTAAAAATTATAAATGAGATATATTATAATATCAAAATAGACAAATTAATTAATTAATAAGAATATTTAAATATTTATAATAAGAAAATTATTATATATATTAATATTTTAATATATAAAATATATTATATTATAAAAAAAATATTATTTAAATATAATTTAATATATATATTTATTAAAATTTTAATATAAATTAAAAATATGTTAATATTTTGAAAATTAATATAAAACATAATTATTAGTATAATTATAATTTATTATATCGTAGCGAGTTTAGAGGTTAGAATATATATAAATAAATAATATTAAAATTAATCTAATAATAAAATAATAAAAGATAATAATAATTTTATTGAATTAAATTAATAATATTAAATAGAAATATATAGATAAATAAAAAAATAAAAAAATATAGATATAAGATTACTATTATAATTTATGATTAATATAAAGAAATTAATATAATTTAAAAATAAATATATATTAATATCTTTATTTTAAATATAGTATAAATATATAAAATTATAAATAAAAATTGGGGAGGATATATTAATATAATAAATCAAATTTAATAAAAATTATTAAAAATATAATGAAATTAATAAATATTTATATTAATTTATTAATATAAAAAAATTAGAATATAGTAAATAATATCAATATAATTATAATATAATATGATAATATATATTTATAAAATTGATATAAAAAATTATATTATTATAAAGATAAATATATATATATATAGAAAAAAATTAATAATATAATTTATAAGATTAATAATTTATATATATATAAATATAAGATAAATAATTATTATATATATATATAAATATAAATAATATAAATATATAATAAAATATATAAAGTATATTATAATCAAAATACGTACGTTGATTATATAAAATATTATAATACATAGAATTTAAAACATATATAACATTTTAATAGAAATTATAGTAATTAATATATAATAATTAATTAATAAATTAATAAATAATTTAAATTTCATTAAGTATTATATAATTAGACAATATATTTATTTATAAGAATAGTATAAACATAAAATATTTAATATATTTATAAAAAAATATATATTTAAGTACAAATATAATATAAAAAATATATATCATTTAATAATATAAAAAATTATTAAAAATATATTTATATAATTTATATATATATGATTAAATTATAATTTTATATAAAAAATATAATAATTAACAAATTTTAGAAATTAAAAATAAAAAAAAAAAAATAAATATTAAAGATTATTATAACAATAATAATTAATAAATAAGATCATATATATATTTAATATATAATAAAATATAAATATAAAAAATATTATATAAATTAAAATAATATAGAATTTTTAATAAAAAATATAATTAGAAATAATATATATTTATAAAAATTATTGTAAAAAATATATATTATTGTATTGAATTATTTATTATATTTATATTATAATATTTTTAAATATAAAATAAAAATATTATTATTAATAAAATTTATTAAAAATATATACTATATAAATAAGTAATTAAAAATAAATTATAATATATATTAAAAAAGAATTAAAACATAAATAAAATAATATTTAATATATATAATATATAATATATATAAATAATATTATTATAATTATAAAAAGTTAGCATTAAATTATATATATAGATACAAAATTAAATTATATATATATTTAATAAAATATATATATATATTAAATACGTTATTAATAAATTATATTACATATATATTATAATAATATATAATATATTAAATCTAAATAAATAATTAATTATTATATTTTAAAATTAGAAATATTATAAGATAATAAATTAATTAATTAATAAATATAATACTAAATAATAATAGAAGATAATAAATAAAAAAAAAAATATTTAATAAAAATTAATAATAATGTAAAAAAAATAAAAAAAATATTAAGATAGTAACATTATAAATATATTTAAAAATAATAATAAATAATACTATAAAATATTAAATAAAAATATTTTTATAATAAGATTTATTATATATTATTATATTAAATTTATAATTATAAAAAAATATAAAAAATAATAATTAATAAATTTACTAATAATAAATAAAGAAATTATATTAAAAATATTAATTTAGTTAGGTGATAAGGGGGATATAAATAAAAGTTAAAATTATTAAAAAATAATCATTACTTATTAATAATAATAATAAATAAAGTTTTAAAAAAAAATTTAAACATAATAAATTATTATTTTATAAATTTCTTCAATAAACGCCCGGGCCACAAAGTGTGTGAACTATAATCCAATCAAAATACAATCATCCCAACTCAATCATCATCCTCATCCCCAAATTCAACCCCATTCCTCCACAGCCTTCTACCCCACCCGCACTAACACCCACACATAACTAACCACATCCATCCCTCTATACTCCACCACACCCCCCAACACCCTACATCTCTACATCTAATTCACTCCACTTCATACACCTAATATTATCATCTCACAACCAACAAAACAAAAGACACTTCCACACATCACAAATCTTTACTCACCACAACCACCAAACCCACAACCCTCCTCAACTACTACCTATCTCTCCCTATCACTCTCACACTACTCTCCACCACCACACATCAACACAAACACATAATCCACACCCGCCACCATCCCCACCAAACAACCGACACATCACAACACTACCCAGCAAACAACCACCTCTACATACCCTACCACCACCTCCCTACCACTCAAATCGTACTAACCCCACTACCCCAACAACATACCCACACCACCCCACTCTCCACCCCCCACACACCACCACCCCATCCCCCACCATATCAACCATAACCTACCATCTTCCTCCAACCCCTCTCATCCCCTTCAACCCCCCACACACCCCAACACCCAACACTCATACACCACTACTAATCTACTTCATCATACACCACAAAAACCTATAATCCACTTAACACTCCCAACTGTATCATACTCACACCACTCCCCCGACCCACCCCCAATATCCACTCCTCTACCACAATCAAACTCTCCACACCCCATTACACACTCACCTCAATCACCACTTAACTCACTCACCCAACAACCTCTCCCCACAACCCACCCTCTCACCACACTTACACCCCACCCCCCCCCCTCACCATACAACACACTCCACCACTCCCCCCCACACAACCACTCCTATCCCTACTACATACCACAACTACACCCCACACCCCTCCTAATCTTCATAGGTTCATATATAAATATATGGATATAGGTTCATATATAAATGATTATGGATATAGGTTCATATATAAATGATTATGGATATAGGTTCATATATAAATGATTATGGATATAGGTTCATATATAAATGATTATGGATATAGGTTCATATATAAATGATTATGGATATAGGTTCATATATAAATGATTATGGATATAGGTTCATATATAAATGATTATGGATATAGGTTCATATATAAATGATTATGGATATAGGTTCATATATAAATGATTATGGATATAGGTTCATATATAAATGATTATGGATATAGGTTCATATATAAATGATTATGGATATAGGTTCATATATAAATGAATTATGGATATAGGTTCATATATAAATGATTATGGATATAGGTTCATATATAAATATTATGGATATAGGTTCATATATAAATGATTATGGATATAGGTTCATATATAAATGATTATGGATATAGGTTCATATATAAATGATTATGGATATAGGTTCATATATAAAATGATTATGGATATAGGTTCATATATAAATGATTATGGATATAGGTTCATATATAAATGATTATGGATATAGGTTCATATATAAATGATTATGGATATAGGTTCATATATAAATGATTATGGATATAGGTTCATATATAAATGATTATGGTTATAGGTTCATATATAAATGATTATGGATATAGGTTCATATATAATGTGTTCTTTAAAGCAGGAAGTGTCGTGTCCACAGAACAGACTTCACAGAAACAACGACAGAAGGAAATGAGCAGGGGCTGATTTAGACTTTCACTTTCACCTTTGTGTGCGCGATGTTTCAAATATACAACTAAAAGACAAGTTTTATTTCACTCAACTCAACATTTATGTAGTTTGTGACATTGAATCATGTTTGTATCGTTGGTATGTTCCCTTTCCCCAAATGGAACAGTTTTTCAACCTAAATGATGAACAGTTAAGTCACTTTGCGGAGCCCAGAGCAAAACTCACTCCTGGACAGTTTTTTAGTGTCATGAATCAGCGTCCAGGGAACTTTAATGTGAACACAATATCTTTCATTTGTGCAGTAAAAGACACTCACAAAATCATGTCTTCTGTTCGACCAGTGACATTCATTCATACGTCCTGTGAGAGAAACATGTTGTGATCTCCCTAAAACAACAGCGTTATAGATGCACTGCAAAAGATGACAAATGATCAATCAATCAACTTTATTTGTATGGCGCCTTTCCAACACAAGGCCACTCAAAGCGCCTCACAACCCACATAATATCAGATAAATCAGAAACATCAAAATCTACATATACAAACAATAAATACATAAAAAATAGAATAAAATCACAAGTAATGAAAAACCTTAAAACATTAAAACACACACGGGATTAAAATAATAAATAACCACAATGCATTTAAAAAGAGTATGTATCAATAAAATCCTTCAGCCGTATGCACAGCTAAAAAGAACAGTTTTTAACCCTGATTTGAAAATTGCCAGAGTAGGTGCTAGCCTCACATCTTCAGGAAGATTGTTCCAGATTTTATCTGCATAAATCTCAAACGCTGCCTCCCCATGTTTAGGTCTGACTCTTGGAACCAGTAAGAGGCTTCCTCCTGTGCTCCTCAGAGTCCGGGCTGGTTCATATGGCACCAACAAGTCGCTTAAGTACTTTGGTGAGAGGCCATGGAGAGACTTGTAACAAGCAGAGCTGTTTTAAAGTCTATTCTCTGAGCCACAGGAAGCCAGTGCAGAGACCTGAGGACCGGACTAATGTGGTCGTACTTCCTGGTTCTTGTCAGGACTCGAGCTGCTGCATTTTGAATGTACTGCAGCTGTTTTACAGCCTGTTTGGACAGACCTGTGAGCAGGCCATTGCAGTAGTCTAACCTACTGGAGACAAATGCATGGATAAGAATCTCCAAGTCTGCTTTAGACACTATGTTTTTGATCCTGGAAATGTTTTTTAGATGGTAAAAAGCTGCTGATGTTACTGATTTGATGTGACTGTTAAAATTTAAGTCTGAGTCCATTATAACTCCTAGGTTTCTGACCTTGCCTACAGGTTCCAGGGAGAGAGACTGGAGGTGACAAATAACGCTCTCTCTTTGTTTCTGAGGACCAAAGACAATCATTTCTGATGATGAGGTAGTATTTGCTTGAATGGATGGTTTTTATCTTAATCTGCGTTCCTTCTGACTGTGTTAAAAAAGATTCTCCAACGGGACAAAGCCATTTAGACTTATTTCAAAAACTGCTCCTTTATTTAGTAATTCCAAGGGAGACATTTCTTGTATCTAACAAGATGATATTCTCTTTGTCCCATTGGAAAATCTTGTTTTAAAGCAGTCAGAATGTGCTAACATTAAGTAAGTAAAAAGTCTCTCAAAGGTCAGAGTTCAGATATTGTTCCATTCTCTCCACACGGTGATGACACTGGTCCATCAAAGCCTCCAACACCCCTCACTCCTTACATTCATTTCTATTGTACATGTTTTCAGAGGTTGGGGCCCACACGCCTCAGAGGTGTCCAAACTTTTTAGTAAGAGGGCCACTTTAGTTCAAGTCTTTCCACGGCCTCGCACTAAAGTCTGTGACATGTTAGTGCCATGAACCAATTCTGAGGAGCACAGGGACGGGCCTCCTGCTGGGACTCTGAGGAGCACAGGGACTGGCCTCCTGCTGGGACTCTGAGGAGCACAGGGACTGGCCTCCTGCTGGGACTCTGAGGAGCACAGGGACTGGCCTCCTGCTGGGACTCTGAGGAGCACAGGGACTGGCCTCCTGCTGGGACTCTGAGGAGCACAGGGACTGGCCTCCTGCTGCAGCGTGTCAGATTCATGCAGCTAAAACCAGTCTTCCTGAAAATGTGAGACAGGCTTCTTCTCTGACAACGTTCAAATCCAAGTGAAAAACATCTGTTTAGCTGTGCATACAAGTGAGGGACCACCCGGAGGAAACCTACACAGACACAGAGAGAACATGCAAACTCTCAGAAAGGCCCTGGGATGGCTGAGAAGCGAAAGTGCTTATCACTCAACCACCGTGTCGCCTAAATTAATATACATTATGCCAAATTTTGTGCCATTTTTGACTTATTTTTCACCGTTTTTGCAGTGAGTAAAGCAGCAGTGAAATGTAGAGATGCAACATTGAAGCAAACATTCTGAAAACACATGATCAAATGCTTAGACATAAACAGCTCACACCAGTCATTTGCACGTTCTCCTTTTGCTGCTAAATGTTTTTTGATATCGTATCTTGCTCATTGTGACTTGATGACTTATATGATTGTGTTGTCATGGATACAGATGAAAATAGTATCGTTTTTAAAGTAACTGCACATTGTCCTTTATTAATAAAACTTTAAAATCTTTTATCATTTGTGGCCAGACCTGCATGTGAGAGCTAGATACTGTCAGACCTCTGAGGCTAAGCAGGGCCAGGCTGGGTTAGTACTGTGATGGGAGACCTCTGGGAACATCAGGTGCATCATTCTTATTATTATTATTTACATGTTTGATATAACACCATTTCAAAGCAATTCAAGAGATCCTTTATTTGTGGGGAAATGTCAATGTTGCATCACCATTTACAGAACAACTCTTTACCAAAATAGAATAAAATTAAATCTCTAACTTTAGCATTATAAGGAAGCAAGAACTAAGTATAACCTTTCTGACGTAAGAATAAAATATCTAATATTACTCATGTTCTGCAATAGATCAGACAGAGAGAAAGACCGAAACTCTCTTGGTGATCACATGTCATGGTCAAAACCTCCTAAAATCTGGTTTTGCGGAATCTGTCTCCTCCAAAGTTTTCCGTTTCTTGGCAGAAGAGCGTGGATCGTCCGGAGGGTCCTGTCCCGCAGCCTCCTGTCCCGCAGCCTCCCCCAAAACCCGTCCAGCGTCTCCCACAGAAGCCAACACTGGTACAAGGATTGGGAGTGGCCGCGACCACAGCGAGCTTTCAGACGGTTCTCCCCAACGGGACTCTCTGCTCCATGTCTGGGTCCGGTCTACCACAGTCCAAGTCTGTCCCTGGGTAAAGTCCTGTTTACTGCTTTTTCAATTTACAAAACTGTCGATTCGCCGACACAGATCAGAGAATCAAACAGTTCAAACACAACCAATGCAATGATTAAAAACACATAGAGCCGTTGGTCCGTAAGGGGCACAGACCGAAGTCCATAAATGTTTATAGAAGTTCATAAATGTTTATAGAAGTTCATAAATGTCGGTGAATGTGGAGTGTCCTGGATCATCACCTCAGTCCTTGGACCCTCGTGCATCAGCAAGAAAAAAAGGCTAGGCTTATGGTAGGTCTAGCATTGGCTCTCAACTCTTAATCTTTGGTCTCTGGCTGGATCTCTGGTCTGGTCCCCAACTCTAGAGGTCCCTTGCCTGTGTGTGTGTGATCTGTTCTCGGTCTTGGCCTGGTCTCTGCTTTCTATTTGGTCCTCAACTCAACTCTACATGTCAGGTCTGTTACTGGTTTAGTCCTTGCCTGTCTAACCTGGTCCAGCTCTGGTCTTCATGCCTGGTCCTTGTGAGTCCTTGGTGCTGGTCTCTAGTCAGGTCTGTGGTCTCGGCTCTACTCTCTGCTCCTCAAAGCCAATGGTTGGTCGATCTCGTGTTGGTGAAGTCTTTGCCTGAGTTACTCTGCAAAAAGTGATGGAAAATAAGTCAAAAATTGGTTAAAATGAATGGTTTTTCAAAATCAAATCAAATCAAATCAAATTTTATTTATGAAGCGCTTTTCATACAAAAGATGCAACACAAAGTGCTTTACAGTTTGGTTAAAAACAATCCCGCCGACCCAAGAACCCTCCCCCCGACCACCCAACAGACCCATCCCAAACCACAGACAAACACACACGCTCCCATGCACACTCTCTGACACACACACACACACACACACACACACACACACACACAAGTAAAACAGTAAAACCATGATGAGAGACTTGGCAGGGTTCGGATGCAACCAGCTGAAAAAGCGTCATCCAAGGAACCGTCTGCACCAGGAGCAGAGAGCCGCCTGTAGCCACAGGGGACGACACAGGATCTAGAGGAGACCCGAACCCGAGGCCCCAGGCCCCCACCAGGTCCAAGAGTCTGACCCCCGCAGCCACACCGACCACTGCTCCCAGTGCAGAGGGCTCCTCCAGAGGAAACACTGGGTACACTAAAAACAATACTATAACAATACAATATGTAAAACACAAAAATGTGAAACTAAAATGAACTAACACACAATACATGAATAAAAGCAATAGCAATACAATAAATAAATAATAGAAGATAAATAGAATATATAAAATGAAATAGTAAAAACTAATCAAAAGCTAATCTAAAAAGGTGTGTCTTGAGCCTGCTTTTAAAAATATGAACGTTCTCTGCGGCCCTGAGCTCCTCCGGCAGACTGTTCCAGAGACGGGGGCCGTAGTGCTGGAAAGATGCCTCGCCGTGAGTGTGTGTCCTGACTTTGGGGATGGTTAGGAGTCTGCTGCCGGAGGAGCGCAGGGAGTTTGGTTTTTGAACCTAACTCTCTGGTCTTATTTGTCGAGCACGTACCACCAGAATGATTGACAGTTGGGAGGACCAATAGTCTTGATGATCCACCCGGAAGTTGAAAATTGTCCTATATACCTTTAAGTCTGAGCACATTCTGACTGAGCCTTAAAACAAGATTTTCCAATGGGACAAAGCAAAATTATCTTGTTTAAAAAGATACAAAACATGTCTCCCTTGGAATGAGGAAATAAAGAAACAGTTTTTTAATAAATAGCTTTGTCCCATTGGATCGATTTAAGCATTTATTACCTCATTTTTGTGTCGTATTTTTGCAGTGTAGATCCGGTCTCGCTCTGGTCCTGCTCTGGTATGGTCCGGTCCATGTGTCCCTGGTCTGGGGCTCACACATGGACTCTCTCTGCCCTCTTGTTGCCGTTCCTTCTCCTTTAATACCCGCCTCTCCTTCCGTCTCTGGCTGTAGCAGGAAGCTGGCAGTAAACACAGACGGGCCCCGCTCTGAGGAAGTGAGGCCCCGGGGCCCGAGATCAGGTCCGATAAAGGTGTGGGCACAGATTCTGTTTAAGATTAAGACTAGCAGATTCTTTATTCGTCCCACAGAGAGAGCACAGGATGAGTACACGGAAAAAAGTCAAATATTGGTCAGATTCATTGACAAAAAAAACAAATGATGCTGCTTTTACTAGTTTTACGATAATAATACTTCATAATCTTAGAGAACAAAGTATTTTTTCTTATTTTCAGACGACTTTTCTTGTTGTTTAGATAAAACATGATAAAGTTGTCATGCTATATTTTCAGAAAACATTTAACAAAACATTTTAAGAAATAAGTAAATAATATGTTTTTATTCTAGAATCAAGTCATTTTGGAGCTGGTGTTATTTTCTTACTTTCATAAATCTTGTCAAGATATATTTTCTTGTTATTATTTTAAGCAGTATTTTACTTATTTCTTTTTTTTTTTGTCAAGGGATTTTTTCCAGTGTGCATATTAAGATAAATAGGAGGATGTTCTATTTCCGGGTGGATCATCAAGAAGTGAAATGTCACTTAAACAATCGTGAGCTTCTGAGGCCACCGCGTCATTCTGGACTTTACCACATATTTTTGAATGGAAACTTCTGACAAAAATGTGAATTAGACGATTTTGGTTCTTCATCAGACGCAGAAGAAGAGCTGAAAATGTGTCAAGAAACTGAGGAAGAAACATGGGACGTAATAACAGTTTTTCCTACAACTCTGGGTTAGGACCAAAGAGAAGAAGCAACACAAAGAGATAAACAAGTTTTTTAGATTCAGACATCAATATTTTTATTATTATTATCATTATTGTATGTTTATTTGATAGGGACAGAACCTTGAGCAGTGTTAGAGGAAACAGACCTGTCCCTAAGACACAAAAACACACATATTTACAATAGACTTTAATACTAGAAAAGGTCTTGCATTGTGCTCACAAGTTTGGTTCCTTTTGAGCCATTATTGTATATACAATACACAAACACACAGACACACACACACAGACAAACACACACACACACACACACACACACACACAGACAAACACACACACACACACACACACACACACACACACACACACACACACACACACACACACACACACATACAGACACACACACAGACACACACACACACAGACACACACAGACAAACAGACACACAGACACACACAGACACACACAGACACACACAGACACACAAACACACAGACAGACACAGACACACACACAGACACACACACACACACACACACAGACATACACACAAACACAGACAGACACACACAGACACACAGACAGACACAGACACACACAGACACACACACAAACACACACAGACATACACACAAACACACACACACACAAACACAGACACACACAGACATACACACAAACACACACACACACAGACACACAAACACACAGACAGACACAGACACACACACACACACACACACACACACACAGACATACACACAAACACACACACACACACACACACAGACATACACACACACACACACACACAGACATACACACACACACACACACACACACACACAGACATACACACAGACATACACACAAACACACACACACACACACACAGACATACACACTTTCTGAGGGGAGTTTGCATGTTCTCCCCGTTTCTGCGTAGGTTTCCTCCGGCTGCTACGGTTTCCCCTACCACTAAAACATGCACACAAGGTTAAGTCCACCAGCTCTGGTCCTGACCAAGTCGAGCATCAACATCTGGAGTCAGGTTCGGCGCAGTTACTACGGCGACCACGGCTCCTGACGTAAGCCTTAGTGGCATCAGGATGGGTCAGATGTAGAGGACGAGTTTCCCGACGGGGATTTATAAATGCACATTTGCATTTATTTCAAACACTCACACGCACACACACACACACACACACACACACACACACACACACAGCTCCAGGTGTGTGTGTGTGTGCAGTGGACATCTCAAAGTAACAATGAACTTGAAAGACATAACCCACTGTTGTTGAGACAGGGAGTGAGGGGGCTTCCATCTTGTGGCAACAGTCTAATTGGAGCCAAGAGAACGCTCTGCTGCACCTTCACCGTTACATTGTGTTGGACCCACTTAGTTTGTCTCCATTTAAACACAGCTCCACGCTCTGCCTGAAGATAGAAATGGTCAAACTTAAAATGAATAAAACTCCATCATCATGAAAAGCATTCGTAGTCGCCCCACAGTCGGAACGCGGGATGTGGCGTGCGTGGACAGGGCAGGGCTGTGATTGGCCGATAGCAGGCTCATTACACAGATAGCAGGAGGGTGGGGGCCCTGGGGGACATGTTATCGGGGGCCAGAGGAGTGGAGCAGGCCCCTGAGACCCCAGCCATGATCTGCATCTGCTCTGAGACACGTCCTCACATTTGTGTTGGACATCATCTGTAAAGTCTGTGCAGCAAGGGCTGGACTTCATCGACAAGGCGAGTTTATCTGTATAGCACAGTCCATACACAAGGCCACTCTGAGTGCGTAACAAAACAAGATAAGAAACAAAATCATACAAGTTTTTAAAATCATGAATAATCACAGGACGTTTAAAAATAATGTGATTTGTGATGTGCAGAGAGACCAGAGAGAGACCAGAGAGAGAGACTAGAGAGAGAGACCAGAGGGAGAGACCAGAGAGAGACCAGAGAGAGACCAGAGAGAGACCAGAGAGAGAGACTAGAGAGAGACCAGAGAGAGAGACCAGAGAGAGACCAGAGAGAGAGACCAGAAAGAGAGACCAGAGAGAGAGACCAGAGAGAGAGACCAGAGAGAGACCAGAGAGAGACCAGAGAGAGAGACCAGAGAGAGAGACCAGAGAGAGAGACTAGAGAGAGACCAGAGAGAGAGACCAGAGAGAGACCAGAGAGAGAGACCAGAAAGAGAGACCAGAGAGAGAGACCAGAGAGAGAGACCAGAGAGAGAGACCAGAGAGAGACCAGAGAGAGACCAGAGAGAGACCAGAGAGAGAGACCAGAGAGAGAGACTAGAGAGAGACCAGAGAGAGAGACCAGAGAGAGACCAGAGAGAGACCAGAGAGAGACCAGAGAGAGAGACCAGAGAGAGACCAGAGAGAGAGACTAGAGAGAGACCAGAGAGAGAGACCAGCGAGAGACCAGAGAGAGAGACCAGAGAGAGAGACCAGAGAGACACCAGAGAGAGAGAGACCAGAGAGAGAGACCAGAGAGAGACCAGAGAGAGACCAGAGAGAGAGACCAGAGAGAGACCAGAGAGAGACCAGAGAGAGAGACCAGAGAGAGAGACCAGAGAGAGACCAAGTTCTTTAAGATCTACTCGAGCAGCTTCTCTACATGATTGCATTGTACCTTTCCGTCATTCCACCTTTGGTCAATCAGCGTTTGCAGTGAAGGCTGCTAAACTGTGGAACCAACTACCTGACAATATAAAGACATGCACGACCATCAAGGGCTTTAAAACTGAACTCAAAAAGCATCTAAAAAGTAGCCAGCATTGTACACACTAGCCATGCCAGCCCTCTTTGGTTTTTACACTCCCTCTGGTACTGACTTATTTGTCTGTATTTGTGTTGTTGATGTGTCTTGTCTGGGTTTTATGAATCTGTAATGTTGCATGTGGTTTGTCTTTCCTGGTCGACCCCTTGTCTTGTGAATCTTGTCTTTTTTCTGTTATGGGTCGTCCGTTCCCTGCCAGGGACTGCAGATGTAAATTAGCCTCAGGCTAACTCTGGTACAATGCATCAAATGGCAACATTTATGTTATAATTGTACATGGTCCCTTTTAAATAAATAAACTAAACTAAACCAGAGAGAGAGACCAGAGAGAGACCAGAGAGAGAGACCAGAGAGAGAGACCAGAGACAGACCAGAGAGAGACCGGAGAGAGACCAGAGAGGGAGACCAGAGACAGAGACCAGAGAGAGACCAGAGAGAGAGACCAGAGAGAGACCAGAGAGAGAGACCAGAGAGAGAGACCAGAGAGAGACCAGAGAGAGAGACCAGAGAGAGACCAGAGAGAGAGACCAGAGAGAGACCAGAGAGAGACCAGAGAGAGCAGAGAGAGACCAGAGACAGACCAGAGAGAGACCGGAGAGAGACCAGAGAGAGAGACCAGAGACAGAGACCAGAGAGAGACCAGAGAGAGAGACCAGAGAGAGACCAGAGAGAGAGACCAGAGTAAGAGACCAGAGAGAGACCAGAGAGAGAGACCAGAGAGAGACCAGAGAGAGAGACCAGAGAGAGACCAGAGAGAGACCAGAGAGAGCAGAGAGAGACCAGAGAGAGACACCAGAGAGAGAGACCAGAGAGAGACCAGAGAGAGACCAGAGAGAGACCAGAGAGAGACCAGAGAGAGACCAGAGAGAGAGACCAGAGAGAGACCAGAGAGAGAGACCAGAGAGAGACACCAGAGAGAGACACCAGAGAGAGTGACCAGAGAGAGACACCAAAGATAGAGACTAGAGAGATAGTTTTGTTTTGTTTAATGACCACAACAAAGAAATAGAAATCATTGAAGCAAAATGAAACACTGCTTTTTAGATACGTCACTCTGACAGAAGCAGGAGACAGTCTGTGAAGCCCCTCCCACACAAACACACAGACACACACACACATACACAAACACACACACAAACACGCACAAACTCACACAAACACACACACCGGCAGTTTGGTATTTTACAGCCGCACCACTGTGGCACCTGGTGTTCCCAGAGGTCTCCCATCACAGTTATAACCAGGCCCTGTCCTGCTTAGTACTGTTAGTCCAGAAGTCTGACAGGATCTGCAAGTGTGGCCACAAGATAAATTCCAGTGGAGGTGTCTTTGTTTGGGATCCCTCCTGGACGTCTCTGAGACCAGGGGACGACCCAGGGCACAGAGGGACTGGAATGCCTCCGGGTTCCCCCAGAGGAGCAGGAGGAGGTGTGTGAGGAGAGGGCATATTGGCATATCAATAGATTTCAGAAAATTGGTAAAAAATATATACGATTGTCTCGGTGAATGTTACAGAGGAAGAGACTGACGGCTCAGATTGGCGGCCTCCTCTTCAGCCTGTCTGCCCCGGGGCGTCTGTGGCTGCTCCACTTTCACGTCTACAGTGAATGAATGCTACACATGAGAGAGTGAATGAAAGAGGAGAAACAACCTATTATTGAAAAGCACAAACAGAAAATCTGATTCTTATTCTACATTCAGACAACTATATAAATATATAGTTTTATTTCACCACACACTGACACGTGTTGGTGACCTGTTCTGTTCTGCTGAGTGCAGCTGTAGCGCCACCTCCAGGTCATCGGCTTCAGCGCACGCTTCTGTCCAGAGTCTAAAGGGACCTGTAAAACCACAGTGACCGAGCTGTCACTGATCAGGTGGAGGTGTGTATAATGATAATAACAATTATAATAATAATAATAATTTAATAATAATAATAATAATCTGGCCTCTTTTATCTGCACCTGTGAACTGGCCTAGAGTTGTGGGCTGCACTCCCCTCCCTGTCAGTCCTGGGTCTACAGCCTCAGTCCTGGGCCTCAATCCTGGGTCTACAGCCTCAGTCCTGGGTCCACAGCCTCAGACAGTCCTGGGTCTACAGCCTCAGTCCTGGATCCCTCTCTCCATGGGGTCCTCCTCAGTGAGATGGTTCCTCACTGGTGCAGGGGGGTCAAAGGGCAGTGAAGAACCAGGACATTTATAAACATTCCTGGACAGTGGTCGTCCCGCTCCCTCTGGACCAATGGCTCCTGTGTGTGTGTTATTATTGTATTTTGTGTGTTGAAACTGTTGTTAAGGAATCAACAACTTTAGAAAATCCTCCGAGACGACTGCTGCTGTGATTTAGACGATGCACAAACACATTGGATTGAATCGTGACGTGACATTTGAAGTTGTCATTTTGCTCTCCAGAGTTTCTCCCTCATTTATTCGGCTCTTGTGAAATCCGTCAGACACAGAGAGAGAGCGGTTCCTTTGGTGCAGAGTCAGGACGCCCCAGAGATCAGAGCAGCCTGCCCCAGCACACAGCAGCGTGGGGGAAAGTCCATTCCACTGCGGCTCTCTGGCACTTTCCTACGTGGGCCAGGGTTTAGGCTAGCGTTATGGTTAGGGTTACATTTAGAGTGCACTACTTAGGACTTAATGGTTAATATAAAGAAAAACATATAAAGTATAATATGCATTTCATAATTTTGGGTTTAATATCTAAACATGTGTCACTCAAGCTCAAAACTGCTAATATCTATAGATTCATGAGCGTCGGTCTGAGAGCAGAAGGTGAAGATCCTTTTAGAGACAAACACTTGGACAAAGCCACACTCTGGACACTGCCCCAGCTCACGCCACGTTTCTCAAACTGTGGTTCGTGAACGATCAAAGCTGCCGTCACAGTCTGGGTTTGTCTAATGTCACATGTTTTTATGTTTGTATTTGGCTTTTCACTTCTGCTGCTCTGGCCTGGAACTACAGACCATCAGCCTGGGACTACAGACCAACAGACTGGGCCTACAGAAGGAAACTTGCATATTTACATGTTGATAACTGTACACTTTCTATTTCAAACAAACAAATGGATAAATAAAAAAATGTTTGAAGGACATAAAAGTAAAACGCCTCAAATGTCTCTTCAGTTAAAACACAAAAGGACAGTTCTCTCGCGGCGCACAAACCACACCCATGAGGTCCACGAGTTTATTTGAGGCGACAGAAGGTAAAAAACATGACATTAGGAACAAAGGAACCACATTTGAATAAGACTAAAGAGCATCATGTGGCTCTGACGTCTGCGGCTCCAGCGGAGGAAAGGCTGACACGGGCCCAAACAACACGCCCACCATTCCCACTGTCCCAGCTCCACACACCATTTCTACACGGGTCAAAACACACAGGTCTGCAGAGAAAAGGCCTCTGCAGCGATTGTGAGGAGAGATGTGGGACTCCAGGTTTCTCACTCTTTTTCTCATGTTTTTTTTTTTGTTGTTGTTGTTGTTCTGAAGCAGGAAGTTCAAAAGACCGGTTCCGCACATTTAAGGAAATTTCTGGTAATTTCTGGACAGTGGTCATGCCGCTCCCTATGGACCTGTGTGGATGGATTCTGCTGATGTGAATTAGGGAACTACATTAATAAATCTAAGTGGAATTCTTCGCATATGGCATCGTTCACAACCAGGAAGTAGATTTATAAAACTGGGAAAACATTTGTAAAACTGTGAGAACAATTTCAAATGCAATGGTAACTGTTGTGTGAAAAGTCTAGAGTAACCTGTAACTTTTATCTCATCAATGTTTTCTGATTATAATAAATATCTAATGTTTGAACTCAGTGAAACTTAGTCATTTTAAGACATTTCATGACTGTTTCTTGTATGAATGCCTTTAGCTATTTTTATTTTACTTTTACAACCTCAATCCAAAGCAAATTCAGAGTTTATGTCTATTCATTAGTTACAATGGCAAAAAATAATAATTCTGATTCTGTTTTGAAGTCATTTGGATCAAAGACACTGCGCTGATGCATAAATAGTTAAGTGGACACAGAGCAATGAGCCACAGACTGGGACCAGGAAGCGTGTACCCATGGTCCTGATGCCCTCCTCCGCTGGGACATACACAGTATGTATCTGCAGCTGTGTGAGCGCCCCCCCTCACCCCCCTCACCCCCCTCTCCCCCCTCTCCCCCCTCAGTAACAGTAACAGGAGCAGACTACAGGCCGCGGTCAGAGCTCGTCGTGGCTCTTGGTCAGGTCCTCCCCGTAGTTGGTGGCCTGGCTGCCCACAAACATGTTCCAGTTGGCCAGGATCTCCTCCTTCGTGATCTTCTCGTCCTGCGGGGGGAGAGGGGGGAGAGGGGGGAGACACTGGGGCTCAATACAGAGACTGACATTTGTACTATGAACACAACACAATACAATACTAAGCAGTTGCAGGACATGTGTGACTTCAGAAAGCCTGAGCTACGACCCTCCGGCCATTGTGATGTCACCTGATGTCACATGACCAACGCAAGGATCATCGCAAAACACTGCACGGCAAAAAATGGTAGAATATGAGTGAATAAATGCTTACATCCAGTGGTTTTTATCTTAATCTGAGTTTATTCTGACTGAGTTGATACAAGACTTGCCAGTGGGACCAAACCATGTATTCTTAAAGCTGGACAAACTTGTGCTTTGAAGCAGCAGTTTCAAATGTAAAAGCGCTGGCCTCGCTCTTGCTGCTCCCCTCCCCACACTTACGAAGCTTTCGCCCCCACTGCCCCCCTCCCACTCATGCACGTGCTCGTTTGCTGTTTACGGAGCTGGATCATGGATCTATAATAATTTGTGAATATATCTCTTGTTTTGGCCCCTGCAGGGCTGCTCTGTGCACCTTTTTAGTAAACTTTTAACAACTTTTTAGCGCGTTTTTATTGTTCAGTTTTTTAATATATCTGAGTGTTTTATGTTATTAATTCAGTGGTTTCAGCAAATAGCGCTTAGTCCCGACTGAAACCCACTAGTAGCACAGAGGCTAACACAAGCTAACGAGGACATGGAAAGTGACAATGAAATTGGCTCAAACATGCACAATATTAGTCGCCTCACCTTGGAGCTCCGTGAGAGCGACCGTGCCACCATTGCAGAACTACGAAAAGAAGTCCTTCGTCTCACCGCAGAGTTGAATGAGAAACAATCTCTAGTGTCCAAACTTTTTGAAGTCGCTGGTGGGCAGCATTCACGGCTTATGTCACTGAGTGCTGCATATTGTGACACTGGCGTGTGGGAGAGATCCGTCAGCTCCGGACCCTCCTGTTCTACACCTAAGCGCCCGGTTCCGAACAACGAGCCCGCGGATTCCGAGGAGCCATCCTGCGCCGTGGCCCATGTCCTTAGTCTGGCAAACCGCTATGCAGCCCTCTCCACTGACATCCCGGCCCCCTCAGCAGAATCCCTGGACACTGCAGCGTACTCTACTGCTCGAGGATCCAAGTCCACTGCGAGGAAAACGCTCCTAAAGGAAGCAGTCCTCAGGCGAAAGAGCGGTCCACCAGCCATGTTGGCCTGTTCCCCTTCTTTGACCCCAGTGCAGCAGCCTCAGACTGGGGTAGCGAGCCATCATTACCACCGCTCACCTCCACCGGGTCAGCAGCAGCGCCCAGAGCCAGCCCCTCTCACCGCTCCAGCGTCCCCGAGCACACAGCGTGGGTCGCCTGTAGCTGAGAGTCAGCACCCCCGCTCCTCCTCTCCATGTGTTCAGCGGCGCTCAGGCTCGGGTCCTGCTTCGGGTGAACCCGCTGGCTCCGTCCACCGAGCTCCTTCTCCGAGGCCGCGTCCACGTTCACTCTTCGCCCCGACCACTCTGATTATTGGAGATTCCATCGTGAGACACGTCCGCTTCTTTAACGCGGCCACTCGCTGTATTCCCGGAGCTACTGTACCAGACCTGCTCATCCGTCTCCCTCCTCTGCTTCAGTCCCTGCCTGATACCGTTTCCAAGGTAGTCGTGCATGTGGGAATTAACGACATGAAACTTCAGCAGTCAGAAGTCACGAAGAAACATTTTATGGATCTGTTCCACCTCCTTCAATCCACGGGATTATCTGTTTTTATCTCTGTTCCAATCCCGACTGTAAACAGAGGTGACTGCCTCTACAGTCGTGTTGTGGCGCTGCATATGTGGCTCCAGGCTACATGCAGCTCTTTTAACTTTGTCTTTGTGAATAACTTTGCCCTTTTCTGGAAACGTAACGAAGCCTATCGTCCAGACGGATTACACCCAAACAGATACGGTAGCAGCCTGTTGATGGACTACATGCGTTACGTTGTTCAGCGTTCCCCGAGGGGGGCGTGACTGTTTACATCTGAGCCTCCTCGGACCCCACCGCACTCCCCCGCCTCCTGCTCACCAGCACCGGGTGAGTACAACGGTGCAAACACTGCTCCCTGTCCGTCTGGCAGTGTATTACCAGTCCAAACACTGAACTGTGCTGACTCCCTTCTGACTCTGGGAGCTAAAGAACAACAAGGGTTTTCACATTTTAGTCCAATTGAGACTGTGTGTGTTCCTCGCACCAGCTCAAAAATGTTTTTAAATTCTAAAAAACGAAATCAAAACAGGACAGCAGTTAGACGGTCCAACTCTGCAAATCTAATTTCTGTTCCCTGTAGAAATCAATCAACCACATTAATCGACTCTGACGTTATTTTTAAACTTGCTATGCTTAATGTCAGATCTCTATGTAACAAATCATTTTTAATTAATAATTTTATCACTTCTTATGATCTTGATTTTATGCTTATGGCTGAAACATGGCTGGACCAAAATACAGGAAATGCAGTTCTAATAGAAGCAACACCACCCAATTTTAAATTCGAATCCGAAGTACGAGAAAACAAAAGGGGGGGAGGCATAGCTGCAGTTTTTAGAGAGCACTTTGTCTCCCATAGAATGCCCCTTGGAAATTTTTCATCGTTTGAGTATATTTCTTTTAAAATGGAACAAAAGCAATCTTCTACTCTTTTCATTGTCCTGTACAGGCCACCACAGTCATGTTGCGATTTTATTGACCATTTTACTGAACTACTTTCATTCGTGTGCACAGATTTTGATAGTTTAGTTATTACAGGTGATTTTAATGTACATGTTGATAATGTTGATGACAGAAATGCAAAGGAGCTGGCTTCTGTATTTGAGACCTTTGGTTTCATTCAGCACGTGAGTGGCCCCACCCACAGCAGGGGGCACACTCTTGACCTGCTAATTACAAAGGGGGTTAATGTATCAAATGTTTAATGTAGTTGATGTTGCTTTGTCAGATCATTTCTGTGTATTTTTTGACATGTGTTTTGCTAGCAAACCACCAGCTGAATTTACAATTGTTAGAAGAAGACACATTCATGAAAACACAGGTGAACTGTTCATGGGAATGCTAAATTTTGAGAAAACTCCATGCTCTACTGTTGATGAATTGTATAACTCTGTCACCACCAGTGTTCTGACTGTTCTGGACGCCATTGCTCCTGTGACGGTTAAAATAGTTACCAGTAAGAAAAAGGCCCCATGGACTAAGGCAGACTCGGTCAGGGCACAGAAGCAAGAGTGCCGGAGGGCCGAACGGAAGTGGCGAAAGTCCAATTTCCAGGGCGATTATGAAATCTTTAAAGATGAGTTGGGTGAATTTAACCGGGTTCTACGAAGAACAAGAGAAATGTATTTTTCTGACATTATTGGAGGTTGCAGTAACAATTTTCAGTTGGTAGATTAACGAACCCCCCTGTAAAGTTGCCCCTAGAATTTTCCTCTAAATCTAGGTGTAATGAGTTCGCACAGTTTTTCGATGACAAAGTACAAGGAATCAAAAACACTATCACCTCCACAGCACGTATAACAATGCAACAGCCAGAGAAGCTTTTTGAGCTAACTCACTTTGCACCTGTGGATACTGAAACTGTCAAAAAGATAATCATGAGTCTGAGCTCCTCCACATGTAGCCTGGATATATTGCCCTCTAAATTTCTGAAGTCCGTCCTGAGCAGTTTGTTACCTTCACTGACACAAATAGTAAACATGTCTCTGTCGTCAGGAACATTTCCTGTGGCCCTAAAAACAGCAGTCATAAGACCTCTCCTAAAAAAGAGCAGTCTGGATCCTGCGGGACTTCAAAATTATCGCCCCATATCGAATCTGCCATTCATTGGAAAAATTCTTGAAAAAGTGGCCTCCCAACAACTTACTGAATTTTTAACAATGAATAATTCTTTTGATATGTTCCAGTCTGGGTTTAGACCCCACCACAGCACTGAGACCGCTCTAGTGAAGGTAACAAACGACATTCGACTTCACACTGATGTAGGTAAAGTCACAGTTTTGGTCATGTTAGATCTTAGTGCCGCGTTCGACACTGTCGACCATGAGATCCTCATGCAGAGACTAGAGGACTGGGTTGGCGTCGCTGGCACAGCCCTAGACTGGTTTAGGTCTTACCTGGAGGATAGGAAGTACTTTGTGGAGATTGGGGACTGCGTCTCAGATCATGTGGCCCTGACCTGTGGAGTACCACAGGGGTCGATCCTGGGACCTCTCCTATTTAATCTCTACATGCTGCCGTTAGGTCAGTTAATACAAAGAAACAAAGTGTCCTACCACAATTACGCCGACGACACTCTATGTCTATGTCTCACTGACTGCAGGAGAACATGGACCACTGGATTTGCTCCTTCACTGTATCCAACAGATCAGTGAGTGGATGCAAAATAATTTCCTCCAGCTAAATGCAGACAAAACCGAAATCATTGTCTTTGGTCCCCAGAAACAAAGAGAGGGCGTCATCTGTCAACTTCAGTCTCTCTCCCTACTTCCTTCAGACAAGGTCAGAAATTTGGAGGTAATACTGGACTCAGACCTAAATTTCAATAGCCACATAAAATCAATAACATCAACAGCTTTTTACCATCTGAAGAACATTGCCAAAGTCAGAAATATAGTGTCCAGGGCAGACTTGGAGATTCTTGTCCACGCATTTGTCTCCAGCAGGCTAGACTACTGCAATGGCCTGCTTACAGGTCTGTCCAAACAGACCTGTAAGCAGCTGCAGTACATCCAAAATGCAGCAGCTAGAGTCCTGACAGGAACCAGGAAGTATGACCATATTAGTCCGGTCCTCAGGTCTCTGCACTGGCTTCCTGTGGCTCAAAGAATAGATTTTAAAACAGCTCTGCTTGTGTACAAGTCTCTCCATGGCCTTGCACCAGAATACATTAGTGACATGTTGGTGTCATATGAACCGGCCCGGACCTCTGAGGAGCACAGGGACTGGCCTCCTGCTGGTGCCCAGAGTGAGAACCAAACATGGGGAGGCTGCGTTTCAGATCTATGCAGCTAAGATCTGGAACAATCTCCCTGAAAATGTGAGGGAGGCGTCTACTCTGTCAATGTTCAAATCCAGGTTAAAGACTGTTCTGTTTGCCTGTGCATACAACTGAAGGATTTTATCTCCATTTGTAATGCACTGCTGTCATTTATTTATTTATTTTTTTAAATTTCTTGTGTAACTTTGAAAGTGTTAATGGTTTTATTCTTTTGTGTGATTTTATTGTTTTTATTGTGTTTTAATCTTTTGTGTGATTTTAATGTTTTAATTGTGATTCTGGTGTTTGTTTTATGTGATGATTTGTGATGTGGACTGTGAAGCGCTTTGTGTTGCCCTGTGCATGAAAGGCGCTCTACAAATAAACTTTGATTGATTGATTGATTGATAAGTCGCAGTTACTTTTTGTTCCTCATTTGATCGCATGGCCCAGTGCTAAAGTAGTCTTTTTCTCTCTCCGTTCTTGTAGGGACTTTCTTTTGGATATTTCGCTGAGTAAGCATTAATAACAAAGACACGGGAAGTTTCAGCTTCGCCTCGGCCATGATGCTTGTTTACCTCAGCTGTCTGTGCTAGCGACAGACCTGGGGGCCAGTGCTCCGCTGTGATTGGTCACAATCTGGTCCCAAAATAAATTATCTTCCGCGTTGCGCAAAAATTTTAATTTTCCTAATGAATACAAAAATAAAGTGAGGTAGTCCAGCTTTAATTCAAGAACAGTTGCTTTATTTTCTCATTCCAAGGGAGACTTTTCTGTGACTTTTTAAAACGAGATAATGTTGCTTTGTCCCACTGGCAAATCTTGTTTTAAGGCTCGGTCAGAATGTGCTCGGATTAAAATACATTTGGTCAAATCTGAGCAATTTTTTACTTATTATTTTGCACTCTTTTTGCAGTGTGACACCTGAAATACCTTTTTTTTTTCTACGCAGTGACACGTCTTCAGTGTATCTACAGCACTAATAATAATAATAATAATAATAATAATAATAATAATAAAGTAGCAGAGAGATGGAGGAGAGCGGAGGCACCTTGTTCGTGTCCGTGTCGTGGATCAGATGTTTGGCTTCGTTGTCGGCGTGGTCCACTTCTCCTGGTAACACCCACTGAGCCACCTCCTCTGCATCCAGGAATCCATCCTACACAGAACAAGGCAAAGTTTATTTGTATGGCACAGTTTATACACAAGGAATCTCATAGGGCTGAAGACAAAAATAAACTTTTAAACCACACAAAGGATTAAAAAAGTGAAGAAATACAAGCCTTGAATCTGCAATCTACAGCCTCAGTCCTGGGTCTACAGCCTCAGTCCTGGGTATACAGTTTCAATCCTGGATCTACAGCCTCAGTCCTGGATCTACAGCCTCAGTCCTGGGTCTAGAGCCTCAGTCCTGGGTCTACAGCCTCAGTCCTGGGTCTACAGCCTCAGTCCTGGGTCTACAGCCTCAGTCCTGGATCTACAGCCTCAGTCCTGGATCTACAGCCTCAGTCCTGGGTCTACAGCCTCAATCCTGGATCTACAGCCTCAGTCCTGGGTCTACAGCCTCAGTCCTGGATCAACAGCCTCAGTTCTCGGTCTACAGCCTCAGTTCTCGGTCTACAGCCTCAGTCCTGGATCAACAGCCTCAGTTCTCGGTCTACAGCCTCAGTCCTGGATCTACAGCCTCAGTCCTGGGTCTACAGCCTCAGTCCTGGATCTACAGCCTCAGTCCTGGGTCTACAGCCTCAGTCCTGGGTCTACAGCCTCAGTCCTGGATCTACAGCCTCAGTCCTGGGTCTACAGCCTCAGTCCTGGGTCTACAGCCTCAGTCCTGGGTCTACAGCCTCAGTCCTGGGTCTACAGCCTCAGTCCTGGGTCTACAGCCTCAGTCCTGGGTCTACAGTTTCACTCCTGGGTCTAGAGCCTCAGTCCTGGGTCTAGAGCCTCAGTCCTGGGTCTAGAGCCTCAGTCCTGGGTCTACAGCCTCAGTCCTGGGTCTACAGCCTCAGTCCTGGGTCTACAGCCTCAGTCCTGGATCTACAGCCTCAGTCCTGGATCTACAGCCTCAGTCCTGGATCTACAGTCTCAGTCCTGGGTCTACAGCCTCAGTCCTGGATCTACAGCCTCAGTCCTGGGTCTACAGCCTCAGTCCTGGATCTACAGCCTCAGTCCTGGGTCTACAGCCTCAGTCCTGGGTCTACAGCCTCAGTCCTGGGTCTACAGCCTCAGTCCTGGATCTACAGCCTCAGTCCTGGGTCTACAGCCTCAATCCTGGATCTACAGCCTCAGTCCTGGGTCTACAGCCTCAGTCCTGGATCAACAGCCTCAGTTCTGGGTCTACAGCCTCAGTTCTGGATCTACAGCCTCAGTTCTCGGTCTACAGCCTCAGTTCTCGGTCTACAGCCTCAGTTCTGGATCTACAGCCTCAGTTCTCGGTCTACAGCCTCAGTCCTGGATCTACAGCCTCAGTTCTGGGTCTACAGCCTCAGTCCTGGATCTACAGCCTCAGTCCTGGATCTACAGCCTCAATCCTGGATCTACAGCCTCAGTCCTGGATGTACAGCCTCAGTCCTGGATGTACAGCCTCAGTCCTGGATCAACAGCCTCAGTCCTGGATCTACAGCCTCAGTCCTGGATCTACAGCCTCAGCCCTGGATCTACAGCCTCAGTCCTGGATGTACAGCCTCAGTCCTGGATGTACAGCCTCAGTCCTGGATGTACAGCCTCAGTCCTGGATCTACAGCCTCAGTCCTGGATCTACAGCCTCAGTCCTGGATGTACAGCCTCAGTCCTGGATCTACAGCCTCAGTCCTGGATCAACAGCCTCAGTCCTGGATCTACAGCCTCAGTCCTGGATCTACAGGATCAATGACCTTGCGCAATGGCCTCTAACCCCCTTTTGTGACATACGGAGGTCTTTAAACACACAACACAAACCAAAACACGGCAATAAAACAGGTTTACCTTTTGTTATGGTAAAACTTTCTTAAGAATGACTTTAAGAAGTATATTTTCAGTTTAATACATGGCTCTTTGGTCTGTTTTATGATGCGAAAGAATTTGGGATTATTTGAGTTAAACTAATTAGTCTGTTTTTTTTACCAAGACAGTGATTGATCATCTCTTTGAGGTCCCCTCGGTTTGTTTGAAGTGGGGGATCCCTGAAGGTGCCCACCCTCTACTGCCCCTATCTCCCTTTGTTTCTCTCCCTCCATCCTCCTCCTGTAGTGTCCTCATACATCCTTATACATACTTCTACATCCTTCTACGTCCTTCTACGTCCTTCTACATCCTTCTACATATTTCTACATACTTCTACGTCCCCAAAATACAAATGGATCCTTATGAAATCACCACTGCACATGATGGCGGCTCTGAAACAGCAGCTCAGTGTCATATTCTGCAGCTCCTTCCCGGGACTCGACTCGACTCGACTCGACTCGACTCGACTCGACTCGACTCGACTCGACCCGAAAAAAGTACTTGGTGTGGATCAAACAGAGCTGTAGAGTAGGTCTGGTGGAAACAGGGATTATGTCCAGTCTGAACTAACAGCCAAGATGTGTTATTCGTGCGCTCATGCTCAGACCCCGGTGCTCAGACCCCGGTGCACAGACCCTGGCGCACAGACCCTGGCGCACAGACCCCGGCGCTCAGACCCCGGCGCTCAGACCCCCGGCGCTCAGACCCCGGCGCTCAGTGTGTTGCTTTCACCTTGTTGACATCTCTGAAGTCCTTGAAGTGCTTCCGCTCGGTCTGGATCCAGTCGGGCTCTCCCTCTTGTTCCTCGTCAGAGTACATGTCGCCTGCAGGAGGTGAAGTTACAGTGACATTAACTACAGAAGCTACAGAGACGTGTTTATCAATCACTAATGAAGTGTGTTTTATCCAAAGCTTGAATGTCATCTGATAACTTTGATGATTGACAGGTCTCTGTCTCTGCTCCACCCACACGCCGGCCATGGAACATCTGAGCGGCCATTTTCCCCCAATACTTTTTAGCCTTTCAGAATGTGGGAGGAACTCATAGAACTTATTGTGCTTTAAAAAGAAAGCTGCTTGTGTCATGGTTTGGACTTTTGAATTTGACCAGGTTTTCTTCTTCACTTGGTTTAACAGCGGTTGGCAACAAACTTAAAAAGGAGCATTAGCGCCACCTTCTGTTCCGGAGTATAGGCCAGACGGTAACTCACACGATAAAACTGATTTAAAAGACATAATTAATGTGTCCATTTGAGCAGGTTTTATTGTGCTATTCATCTGTAGTTTTGAGTTTGCTTCCTGTCGGTTGATGTTTGCCCCGCCCTAATGAGATTCACCTGTGTTTCGCTGTCTGTTTTTATACCCTGTGCTTTTTCCCACTTGTTGTCCGTCCATTGTCTGGAATTTTGTTGCTTTCGATTAATTTGAGTCCTTGGAGGTGAGACCACAGGAGGACTCACCCCCTGCAGAAAGATCAGTGAGAGGCTGGTGCTCTGTGACTTCGGTGCAGCTGACTGCCTCCCCCCGACCCAGAAATGGATTATAGGGTAGAATATGGATGGATGAATGAACGGAGGTTATAGAGTCGACTCCAACAGTGGCGCTGACGTCACTCACCGATGTACTCCTGGATGTCCACTTTGCCGTCCCCGTTCTTGTCGATATCCTCCATTGTTTCCTGAGGACACAAACAAATGGAACACCAACATTTTTAGTTGTATATTGTGAGAAAAACAGCAAGGTTGAAAACTTTACAGTAAACAACAGTGTCCCAATTATCCAGACTGTGAAGTGTTCTGTGTTCCGCAGATCAAACCGAGTGCACTGAACCGTCCATCTAGTGGTGTCAGCAGGAACTACAACCACTGAATTGTCCAGTTGTCCTGTTTCTCTGTAGGATTCTGCAGTTTGATGAAGCTCATTAAAGGTCATGTCCTGTTAAATGTTTACACAGAAACAGACCTGGAGTTGGTTTTTTGCCTCGTCCATCAGTTGTTTTCTACTTAGAATCTTCACTGTAAGAACGGCATGTTGAATCAAACCGATCTGTCAAAGATAGATCTCCGAAAGTTTTCTAGGTAATTTTGTATCATAATGGAAATATAGTAGGACAGTGGTTCAGTCGGTAGAGCGTTGGTCTTTGGGGCTTGTGGTCTAGACCTTCTCCATCTGTCGTTGTGCTGGGTAAGACACTAAGGGCCTGTTAAGACAGAGACGCTGCAAAGCAATTTGTAAAAACGACCAGACTCCGTATTCAAAGGTCACAGTGTCTACAGGAGGCAAAACAATGTTGTCCTGGTTGATCCGCCGCCATTGTTGTTTACGTTTGTACTCGGCTACTGCGCATGTGCAAACGTGTGTGCGGGAAATGGTGAGGTAATTGTAGCCAGAGAAAGGAGATCAGAGAGAGACTAGAGAGAGAGAACAGAGAGAGAGACCAGAGAGAGAGAACAGAGAGAGAGCAGAGAGAGAGAGCAGAGAGAGAGAGCGAGACCAGAAAGAGAGACCATAGAGAAACCAGAGAGAGACCAGAGAGAGACCAGAGAGAGAGCAGAGAGAGAGACCAGAGAGAGAGACCAGAGAGAGAGAGCAGAGAGAGAGACCAGAGAGAGAGACCAGAGAGAGAGACCAGAGAGAGAGAGCAGAGAGAGAGACCAGAAGAGACCAGAGAGAGACCAGAGAGAGACTAGAGAGAGAGACAAGACCAGAGAGAGAGCAGAGAGAGAGAACAGAGAGAGCAGAGAGAGAGAACAGAGAGAGACCAGAGAGAGAGACCAGAGAGAGACCAGAGAGAGAGACCATAGAGAAACCAGAGAGAGAGCAGAGAGAGAGACCAGAGAGAGAGAGCAGAGAGAGACCAGAGAGAGAGCAGAGAGAGAGAGCAGAGAGAGACCAGAGAGAGACCAGAGAGAGACCAGAGAGAGACCAGAGAGAGACCAGAGAGAGACCAGAGAGAGAGACAAGACCAGAGAGAGAGCAGAGAGAGAGAACAGAGAGAGCAGAGAGAGAGAGCAGAGAGAGAGGAGAGAGAGAGCAGAGAGAGACCAGAGAGAGAGCAGAGAGAGAGAGCAGAGAGAGAGGAGAGAGAGAGCAGAGAGAGAGAACAGAGAGAGAGGAGAGAGAGTGAGACCAGAGAGAGAGACCAGAGAGAGACCAGAGAAAGAGAGCAGAGAGAGACACCAGAGAAAGAGACCAGAGAGAGAGACCAGAAGAGACCAGAGAGAGACCAGAAGAGACCAGAGAGAGACCAGAGAGAGAGACCAGAGAGAGAGACCAGAGAGAGAGACCAGAGAGAGACCAGAGAGAGAGACCAGAGAGAGAGACCAGAGAGACCAGAAGAGACCAGAGAGAGACCAGAGAGAGAGACCAGAGAGAGACCAGAGAAAGAGACCAGAGAGAGAGACCAGAAGAGACCAGAGAGAGACCAGAGAGAGAGACCAGAGAGAGACCAGAGAGAGAGACCAGAGAGAGAGACCAGAGAGAGAGACCAGAGAGAGAGCAGAGAGAGAGACCAGAGAGAGAGAGCAGAGAGAGAGAGCAGAAAGAGAGAGCAGAGAGAGACCAGAGAGAGACCAGAGAGAGAGCAGAGAGAGAGAGCAGAGAGAGACCAGAGAGAGACCAGAGAGAGACTAGAGAGAGAGACAAGACCAGAGAGAGATCAGAGAGAGAACAGAGAGAGCAGAGAGAGAGAGCAGAGAGAGAGGAGAGAGAGAGCAGAGAGAGAGGAGAGAGAGAGCAGAGAGAGACCAGAGAGAGAGCAGAGAGAGAGAACAGAGAGAGAGGAGAGAGAGAGAACAGAGAGAGAGAGAGGAGAGAGAGAGAGAGAGAGAGAGAGAGAGAGAGAGCAGAGAGAGAGAGCAGAGAGAGAGAACAGAGAGAGGAGAGAGAGTGAGACCAGAGAGAGAGACCAGAGAGAGACCAGAGAAAGAGAGCAGAGAGAGACACCAGAGAAAGAGACCAGAGAGAGAGACCAGAAGAGACCAGAGAGAGACCAGAGAGAGAGACCAGAGAGAGAGACCAGAGAGAGAGACCAGAGAGAGACCAGAGAGAGAGACCAGAGAGACCAGAGACCAGAAGAGACCAGAGAGAGACCAGAGAGAGAGACCAGAGAGAGACCAGAGAGAGACCAGAGAAAGAGAGCAGAGAAAGAGACCAGAGAGAGAGACCAGAAGAGACCAGAGAGAGACCAGAGAGAGAGACCAGAGAGAGACCAGAGAGAGACCAGAGAGAGAGACCAGAGAGAGACCAGAGAGAGACCAGAGAGAGAGACCAGAGAGAGAGACCAGAGAGAGAGAGAGAGAGACCAGAGAGAGACCAGAGAGAGAGACCAGAGAGAGAGCAGAGAGAGAGACCAGAGAGAGAGAACAGAGAGAGACCAGAGAGAGAGACCAGAGAGAGAGACCAGAGAGAGACCAGAGAGAGAGATCAGAGAGAGACCAGAGAGAGACCCCTCCTCTCTGGTCTCAGGCCTCTGTACCTGGACCACCACGTCCTTCATGTAGTCGTACTCCTCCGGGTGCAGGAAGGCGGTGAACTCGTCCCGGGTGGCGATGCCGTCGTGGTCACGGTCTGCGTTCTTGAAGCGCCTTTCGTCCCGGGTCAGCATGCTCTTGTACGTGCTCTTGTCCTCCACATCGTCAAACTCCTCTCCTGTTCCAACACACACACACACACACACACACACACACACACACACACACACACACACACACATATATACACACACAGGGTCAAATGCAACTACTGTTACTCATCGACAACTATACTATGTCAGCTTGTCACCTACACCAATTCTAATAGTAACCGAAACTTCAGTCCTTGGGTCTACGGCCTCAGTCCTGGGTCTACAGCCTCAGTCCTGGGTCTACGGCCTCAGTCCTGGGTCTACGGCCTCAGTCCTGGGTCTACGGCCTCAGTCCTGGGTCTACGGCCTCAGTCCTGGGTCTACAGCCTCAGTCCTGGGTCTACGGCCTCAGTCCTGGGTCTACGGCCTCAGTCCTGGGTCTACGGCCTCGGTCCTGGATCTATATCTATACTGGGCGGCACGGTGGCTGAGTGGATAGCACGGTGGCTGAGTGGATAGCACTCTCGCCTCTCAGCAAGAAAGTCCTGGGTTCGAATCCCGGTTGGACCAGGGCCTTTCTGAGTGGAGTTTGCATGTTCTCCCCGTGTCTGCGTAGGTTTCCTCCGGGTGCTCCGGTTTCCCCTACCACTAAAAATATGTACAATAGGTCTGGCATGTGCCTCCTGTACTGGCGACCCCGCTCCCAAAAATAACAAATGTAAACCGCTTTGAGACTCCTGTGTGCAGTGAAAAGGCGGTATCTAAATAAAGATTACTACTTACTACTACTACTATATTGTGTCCATAATAGACCCCTGGGCAGTGTCTTTGTGGTCGTACCCAGGTAGTAGCCGTAGGTGGTGTTCTTGTACTCCTCCCATGAGATCTTGTCGTCCTTGTTCTTGTCGTAGTCGCTCCAGTTCTTGTCCACGTTCTCCTGGATGTAGCTCCTCTGCCGGTGCTTGATCCACTGGTGCAGCTCGCCGTGCTCGATGAAGCCGTCTTTGTTGGTGTCGATGCGCTCCACGATCTTCCTGCAACGAGTGGTTGGAAATTCTATGATTAAAATGTGAAATTATTGCTTTTTTGGAAGACATACAATAAATAACAGAATCCAACTTACAGCTGACATTTCAGAGAGAGTTTTAGAGGGCATAATTTGACATTTTCAAAACAAATGAAGAGTAATACTTGTTTTTAAAAAGGCAGAAAACAGCTCCATGATGTGATTGAGGGATTGTCATAGCGTGCCGTTGCCCCTGATGTTAGGGAAAGGTAAGTTTAGTTGTATAGCACAATTTATATGCACTTTAAAGAGGATTCTGTTATGACCCATGTGGCTCTTTATTAAACACATGCATAATTCTTCAAACCACTGCAGTAGCCACAGCGGCCCTGGGGCAAGCTGACAGAAGGGAGGCAATCAGTACCATCAGTGGTGGAAGGGGCCAATACCTTCAACACACACCAGACTTATTCTAATGTGGGTGAAGTGTCTTGCCTAAGGACACAACAACAGTTTTTCACTTTAAAGCACCCGCCCCACTGTGGCACCCAGAGGTCTCACAGTCTCACTATCAAAGGAAGAGAGTAAAACCTGGGGCAAGGTTTCAGCCATCAGAGGACTGAGGGGAGAGCAATGGCGGCGGATGTCTATGAAAATCTCAAACATGCATGAATCAGACTCAAACAGCCCAGTGCGGACATGAGCTGAGAAGGTGCAGAGGTGGAACTCACGCCAGGCGCTCCTTGCTCTCCTCGGGGCTGAGCTGGTCGAAGGTCTTTGCCTCCTCTTTGCCCAGGAAGGCCTCGTGGTCGTACTGGAAGCTGTGGGCGTCGTCGTGCACGTGGTCGCTGAGCTCAGGCTTGTGGTGGACCCGCTTCTCCTGAGCCGGGACAGCCCCACACAGACACACCAGAGCCCACAGCAGAGCCCACAGGAGGGACCAGGACCCCAACATCTTCACCATCTTCAGCTGCGGACACAGGGGGAGCCATGGATCAACATTGTGTTACTTAAAGAAGACCCTCCTAAGGACAGAGCTGATGATCCAGGATCGACATTCAGCGACATTTATGAACATCTATTACATTTATAGATATTGATCTCTGCCCCTTATGGACCGATGTCTCTATGTGTTCTTTTTTTGGTTGGTTTTTTAATCATTGCATTTCCTGTATTAGATCTGTTTGATTCTCTGATATCTCCGGGGTCTTGTTCACGAGTGAGCGAAGGATGGTACCGGTCAATCTTCGTTCCCTCCCTCACCTATGGTCATGAGCTGTGGGTAATGACCGAAAGATACAAGTGCATGAGCTTCCTCCGCAGAGTGGCTAGGCCTTAGAGATAGGATGAGGAGCTCAGTTACACGGGAGGAGCTCGGAGTAGAGCCGCTGCTTCTCCACGTCGAGAGGATCCAGTTGAGGTGGCTCGGGCATCTGTTTCGAATGCCTCCTGGACGCCTCCCTGGGGAGGTGTTTTGGGCACGTCCCACCGGGAGGAGGCCCCGGGGAAGACCCAGGACACGCTGGAGGGACTATGTCTCTCAGCTGGCCTGGAAACGCCTTGGGGTCCCCCCGAACGAGCTGGAGGAAGTGTGTGTGGATAGGGAAGTCTGGGCGTCTCTGCTTAGACTGCTGCCCCCGTGACCTGGCAACGGATGAAGCGGAAGAAGATGGATGGATGATTCTCTGATCTGTGTTGACGAATCAACACCTTTGTAAAGTCCTGAGAGATATATGCATATAACTGCTGTAGCCACAGCTGCCCTGGAGCACACTGACAGAAGCGAGGCAACCAGTATGTGCCATTGGTCCCTCCCACCTCCACCAGTTTGGCACTTTACAGCCGCAGCCGTCCCACTGTGGCACCAGGTGTACCCATATTAAGAGAAAAGTGTCCTCTGCATTTGACCCATCCTCCAAGGCCACCCGGAGCAGTGAAGCAGAACCTGGAGCGCCCAGAGGTTACCTACCCAAACTAAAAACACACTTCACTCACATTAGAGTGAGTCTGGTGTGTGTGTGAATGGTTGATGGTGGGAGGGGCCGATGGCACAGACTGGTTGCCTCGCTTCTGTTAGTGTGCCCCAGGGCAGCTGTGGCTACAGTAGTTGTTTATCACCACTGTAGAGTGAAAGAATAATTACGAGTGTCCAGAAATGGCTGTATAAAACTGATGCATTATTATCATTAATAAGTTTACTGAATGACACCATATTGTGTGAACCGTTGTTTTCCACTGCACCAGAGACAGACAAGTGCAATCTCCATCATCCAAGCCAAAACTCCAAAGTCCCTTTTTCCTGTTGGCCGCAGCCGGTGGACTCAGCTCTGGCTTAGATCAGTAATAAAGGGTCATGTCGTCCTCTGCAGTAGGAGCATGTGTCCAGGGGCCCGGCCCCTAGCGGCCCCCAGCTCATGTGAAGCCTACAAACCTGCTACAGTCATGTGGGATTTTCTTTACAATCAGAATACAACCTTTATTTAAGGACCTCAGTCTCTGCTCCTTTAGACTAATGACTGTGTTTTTTATCCACCTGGAAGAACATCCTCCTTTATACCTTTAAGAGTCCAACCATTTTGAGCCGTGGCAAAATTAAACTTTACACAATTCAATTCAATGTATTTTTGTATTTCCCTAAATCACATTGTTGATTCAGCAAAACATATCAGAGAATGGAAACACAGCCAAGGGGCAGATGACCAATGTCCATAAATGTTCAATCAATGGTTTTGTTAAGTCCTCTGAGATAACCACTGCTGTGATAGGGCTGTACAAGGATTCATTCAACTGAATACAATTAAATCCATAGATATCCAGACCCATGTCCTCAGACCCTTCTGTATCGACAGGGAACAGAAACCAGTGGGAAAAACGCAGAACGGTTTTAATAAATTACCCCTTTACATCATGTGCAATGGGTGGTGTGTGTCTGTGTGTGTATGTGTATGAATGTGTCTGTGTGTGTATGTATGTCTGTATGTGTGTGTCTGTGTGTGTATGTATGTCTGTGTGTGTGTGTCTGTGTGTGTATGTATGTCTGTGTGTGTATGTATGTCTGTATGTGTGTGTCTGTGTGTGTATGTATGTCTGTATGTGTGTGTATGTATGCCTGTATGTGTGTGTCTGTATGTGTGTCTGTATGTGTGTGTGTATGTGTATGTGTGTATGTATGTGTGTGTGTGTGTGTGTGTATGTGTTGCTACTCAAACTCAACAATTGTAACAGGATTAATAATAATAATAATTATTATAATGCATTGGTTTTATACAGCGCTTTTTTGGACCCTCAAAGACGCTTCACATGTCATTATTCTTTCACTCCAAACACAGTGGTGAAAAACTACTACTGTAGCCACAGCTGCCCTGGGGCACACTGACAGAAGCGAGGCAACCAGTCTGTGCCTCCGACCACCACCACCAACCATTCATACACACACCAGACTCATTCTAGGCAATGGGTGAAGTGTCTTGCCTAAGGACACAACCACAGTTTGGCACTTTACAGCCGCAGCCGCCCCACTGTGGCTGGTGTTCCCAGAGGTTAAGTGTCTTGCCCAAGGACACAACGACAGCAGACATCAGTGGGAGTCGATGCTCTACCAACTGAGCTACTGTCGCCCTAATTAGTGCACACACAAACACAATGTAACAGAAAGAAGAGTGACTGTCTGCACCCCACCCTCCCCGCCTGGAACCTCCTCAGACCTGGGTCTACAGCCTCAGACCTGGATCTACAGCCTCAGTCCTGGGTCTACAGCCTCGGTCCTGGATCTACAGCCTCAGTCCTGGATCTACAGCCTCAGTCCTGGATCTACAGCCTCGGTCCTGGATCTACAGCCTCGGTCCTGGATCTACAGCCTCAGTCCTGGGTCTACAGCCTCAGTCCTGGATCTACAGCCTCAGTCCTGGATCTACAGTCTCAGTCCTGGATCTACAGCCTCAGTTCTGGGTCTACAGCCTCAGTCCTGGATCTACAGCCTCAGTCCTGGATCTACAGCCTCAGTCCTGGATCTACAGCCTCAGTCCTGGATCTACAGCCTCAGTCCTCAGTATGCAAAAGATAATAGGATTTCTGATAAGGTAAAGAAATAATAGAAGTAGAATTTTTTTTTTTTCAGACCAACAAAATTAATTATTCATGACCAACAGAAAGTGAGGTGAATATATATTTTGACAACTTCCACCCCGTTACACTACAAGACTCGACCAGTTCAACTTATAAGTCCAAGCAGGAAACTACTACTACTACTACTACTACTACTACTACTACTACTACTACTACTACTACTACTACTACTACTACTACTACTACTACTACTACTACTACTACTACTACTACTACTACTACTACTAATACATCCATGCAACCAGCAGGATGTTGCAGTTCGGATTTTGGGAAAATAAGTTTTTCCCCTGCACAGGAGTTCTAAGGTTTTCAATTGTAATATATACAGTCTATGATTGTAATCCACGGAGCCTATAGATAGATGTTAAAAAAGTGTCAAAAAGTAACTTACATTGTGTTTTCTTGATTTCCTGCCGCAGATAGAGTCCAAGATACAGCTCAGCCTCCTCTTTGCTATTTAAATACGAGAGGGAAACAGGGCGGGCCAGTGTGTGAGCAGCCAATGAGGGAAGGCCAAAGGAAGCGCTTCAGCAGATTCTGACCAATAGCAGCGGTGTAATGTAAGACAGGCCGCGAGCGCCACGTTGTCAGAGCAAAGAAGGACTGAGCCCAGCAGAGGGCGCTATAGACACACACACACGTACACGGAGACACAATCACTTACTGCAACCGACGTAAAACTCCTTTCTTTTTTTCTTTGGTTGATATTTTTATTTTATCTTATTTTTTTCAATTTAAAGCTGGGGAACCTAAGTTATTCACATGTTGTAGGTCCAGAATGATCTTGTCTTGTAAAAGTAAAATCAGACCAAACAGGATAGAGCCCTGTGAGTCACCAAGGGCCAGGGACGTTTATTACATTGTTCCCTTTGTTGTCGTTTGGAAGTTAGGTTCCTCAGCTTTAATTGAAATTATTCATGGTCTCAAATACTCTTAAATTGACTTGACCAAACCTGGAACTACAATAGTTCATTAACAAATCAATTAAGAAAGAAAGAAGACAGATGGAGAAGAGCCACTCAGTCTATGGTCAGCACAGACGCGGCGCCACCTACAGGACATATGTTGTAATTCACTTGGGACCTTTTGATTTAAAATGCTGTTAAAACAAAAATATGAATGCCATTTTCAGAAACGTGAAACCTTCATTCTAAGTGAAATAAACTCAATGTAGTGCAATAAAACATATTCTGTTTGTAAAGTGTCTTGATTAGTTAGTGCCTTTCATAATCACAGCACAAAGAGTGAAGATAAAGTCCCTCATTGTAGCACAGATAAACTGTTTTAACCTGGAACATTTTCAGAGAACATTTCTAACTTTATTATTGAACAAAATAAAACATGTTTCTGTCCAAATAGAGGTGTATTTAAGTCGTAATTACACAGCCTGCTATCTTCATCTTCATCTTCATCTTCATCTTCCGAATCTGATCCCAGGATGAGACGGAGACTTTTTTGCTGAAGAAAACTTGAAATGAAAAATACTGAAAACTATTGAAAGGGTTAATTTGAATATCTGAAGTGTGTCGTTTGTACCCGAGGTCCATTTTCAAAAACGTATTAGAATCAGAATCAGAAAAATAAGTTAATTAGCTTATTACGTTAAACTACTTCACTTGGACAATTGATCTCACACAATCTAGAATCTGCTGAAGACACAGCAGTAACTGTAAACACTCCAGCTTCAAAAGTCCAAACACTGTATGCTTTTAGATGTAGGGGAAACCGAAGCACCTGGAGGAAACCACGCAGACACAGGGAGAACATGCAAACTGCCAACACCTCTGTGGATGGAAACGCACCCAGGAACCAACACCGAAGGATTTATTTGCCGTTGGCAGTAAAACCAAATTGGAAAAACTGTGCAAGACTTCCCCAGTGTGCACCATGGAACACACCAGAGCTTTCAGACTGCGGACTAGTCCTCAGGTCCAGGGAGTCCAGGGTTTCAGACTGCGGAATAGTCCTCAGGTCCAGGGAGTCCAGGGTTTCAGACTGCGGAATAGTCCTCAGGTCCAGGGAGTCCAGGGTCTCAGACTGCGGACTAGTCCTCAGGTCCAGGGAGTCCAGGGTTTCAGACTGCGGAATAGTCCTCAGGTCCAGGGAGTCCAGGGTTTCAGACTGCGGAATAGTCCTCAGGTCCAGGGAGTCCAGGGTCTCAGACTGCGGACTAGTCCTCAGGTCCAGGGAGTCCAGGGTTTCAGACTGGGGACTAGTCCTCAGGTCCAGGGAGTCCAGGGTCTCAGACTGGGGACTAGTCCTCAGGTCCAGGGAGTCCAGGGTCTCAGACTGCGGACTAGTCCTCAGGTCCAGGGAGTCCAGGGTCTCAGACTGCGGACTAGTCCTCAGGTCCAGGGAGTCCAGGGTCTCAGACTGCGGACTAGTCCTCAGGTCCAGGGAGTCCAGGGTCTCAGACTGCGGAATAGTCCTCAGGTCCAGGGAGTCCAGGGTTTCAGACTGGGGACTAGTCCTCAGGTCCAGGGAGTCCAGGGTTTCAGACTGGGGACTAGTCCTCAGGTCCAGGGAGTCCAGGGTCTCAGACTGGGGACTAGTCCTCAGGTCCAGGGAGTCCAGGGTCTCAGACTGCGGACTAGTCCTCAGGTCCAGGGAGTCCAGGGTCTCAGACTGGGGACTAGTCCTCAGGTCCAGGGAGTCCAGGGTCTCAGACTGCGGACTAGTCCTCAGGTCCAGGGAGTCCAGGGTCTCAGACTGCGGACTAGTCCTCAGGTCCAGGGAGTCCAGGGTCTCAGACTGGGGACTAGTCCTCAGGTCCAGGGAGTCCAGGGTTTCAGACTGCGGACTAGTCCTCAGGTCCAGGGAGTCCAGGGTCTCAGACTGCGGACTAGTCCTCAGGTCCAGGGAGTCCAAGGTCTCAGACTGGGGACTAGTCCTCAGGTCCAGGGAGTCCAAGGTCTCAGACTGCGGACTAGTCCTCAGGTCCAGGGAGTCCAGGGTCTCAGACTGCGGACTAGTCCTCAGGTCCAGGGAGTCCAGGGTCTCAGACTGGGGACTAGTCCTCAGGTCCAGGGAGTCCAGGGTCTCAGACTGCGGACTAGTCCTCAGGTCCAGGGAGTCCAGGGTCTCAGACTGGGGACTAGTCCTCAGGTCCAGGGAGTCCAGGGTCTCAGACTGCGGACTAGTCCTCAGGTCCAGGGAGTCCAGGGTCTCAGACTGCGGACTAGTCCTCAGGTCCAGGGAGTCCAGGGTTTCAGACTGGGGACTAGTCCTCAGGTCCAGGGAGTCCAGGGTTTCAGACTGGGGACTAGTCCTCAGGTCCAGGGAGTCCAGGGTTTCAGACTGCGGACTAGTCCTCAGGTCCAGGGAGTCCAAGATCTCAGACTGGGGACTAGTCCTCAGGTCCAGGGAGCTCAGGGTCTCAGACTGCGGACTAGTCCTCAGGTCCAGGGAGTCCAAGGTCTCAGACTGGGGACTAGTCCTCAGGTCCAGGGAGTCCAGGGTCTCAGACAGCGGACTAGTCCTCAGGTCCAGGGAGTCCAGGGTTTCAGACTGCGGACTAGTCCTCAAGTCCAGGGAGTCCAGGGTCTCAGACTGCGGACTAGTCCTCAGGTCCAGGGAGTCTAGGGTCTCAGACTGCGGACTAGTCCTCTGGTCCAGGGAGTCCAGGGTCTCAGACTGGAGACTAGTCCTCTGGTCCAGGGAGTCTAGGGTCTCAGACTGCGGACTAGTCCTCTGGTCCAGGGATGTAAAGTGATCAAAAAGTGAATCTGTGGCTTACATATAAAGTACATTTTAAATCTCAACGTTGATCTAAATAAAAGTTTTTAAAACACACTTAGTCTCACCACATGGTTCAGGGATTATTTATGTGACATCAATGAAACCATCAAAGGCACTTCCCACAAACGCAGTCATTTCACTTTGGAGAGACCCAAGAGGGAAAATGCAGTTAGAAGTTTGTTGATTGAGTATGTTTGGCGCCCTAGGCCCGGGAGAGATGCTGATGAGTGCGGCGCTTGCTCGCGCGCATAATCCCCCCCGGGGCCTAGGCACTGGTGACGGCAGAGGCAGTAGGCAAGCACGCTTCGATGAGAGAAGGAGGAGGTGGGGCGGCGGAGGCTTTGCAAACTTCAGAAGGCCGGGAAGTGGGCGTCTCCGGCTTTTAACTTGCTGTCCTGGTGGTTATTGGTGGATTAGATGTGGGCGTTTTGCTGGTGTAATGAGTAGAGGATGAGCAGGCTTGTAGATCTGGCAGCAGCGGCCGGGTCTACCACAGTGAACTTTCGCGAAGAGCTTCATTTGTGTTTGAGTGAAAAGAGCACAATTAAGTCACTTTTTCATAACATTTCACAACATTGTGCCCTAAAATCACAAATCAGATTCAGATTCTTTGCCATTTGCAGTAAAACCACATTGGAATACTTGTGCAAGAGTCCCCCAGGGTTCAGACAGGGCAGGGGAGGGAGGCCTGCTTCAATCACATGTTTGACACAGGAGCACGTCGCCCTCTGCTGGTCAGAGTAAGAAGAGCACACTTCTCCTCAGGATACCATTAAATGTAAAGTAATTGTTTGTTTGTTTGCTTGTTCTGCTAGTGACATGTCAAAGATTCTATGGTTGCCCAGATTTAGAGAAGGAGGCTGGTTGTAAATAGATCAACATTAAATGAAAGATTCCCAAAGAAGTTTGGTTACGGGCGCAGGAAGAACCCAAGAGCACGACCAGACACAGTTGAGGATGAAACAATTTATTACAACTGAGGGTTTGGGTTCAGATCCAATCGTTTCAATCTGCAAAAGGAGTTAGCCCCTCCCACCTGGTAACGGAGTCAATGGAGCAGATCCAGACCTTAGTACGAAATGTAATTTGTACTATGGTGTGGTACGACCAGGCTACAGTGGTGCAGCTGTAAAATGCCAAACTGTCATTGTGACGCTTTGAAAATAAATGTTTGTGAATTAAAATATGTTTAGTTATTAATGGTAAATGACATCTGACCCCCACGGCTCATAATCAATGTTGTGACTACATTTGAGATCTATTCTCAGACTCTTTGATCTTCAGATAAATTTATTTATTTATATACCGCCTTTTCACTGCAGATCAGAGTCTCAAAGCGGTTTACAATTTTTATTATTTGGGCATTTGTCTCTCACTCCACACAGAGAAGGGAATGGGGGCACCAGTACAGGAGGCGCATGTCAGATCTATTGTGCATGTTTTTTTAAACCTACGTCCAACTGGGATTTGAACCCAGGACCTTCTTGCTGAGAGGCGAGAGTGCTATCCACTCAGCCACCGTGCCGCACACAAATGTCTATTGTGTGTAAATATACAGTATATTATTGTATACTGTATTATTGTTCCTTAAATCTGTGTTTCACTGTATTCCTTCTTTACACGATGCACCAAAGCAAATTCCCAGTCCATGACTTCAAAAATGGCCACCTTAACGTGGTGGGGCAGTTTGAGGACTCAGATGATCCTGGGAGCTACGTCTTGAGGCTCCATGCACCTGGTAGGGCCTCTCATGGCACAAAGTTGATAACCGTGACGTCGCCCGGTAAGGCACAGCCGGAGCCCCACCCAGCCCGAAAGGACGGGATCCCCTGTGGACCCAGCAGCCACAGAGGGATCCATGGGGCCCTGGTGCAGAGAGGACTA